CCTCCGTGTCTTCCAACCAGGTGACAAGGTTTTGGTGCTTCTTCCGTTGCCGGGATCCAGTTTGCATGCTCGGTTTTCGGGTCCGTACACGGTGGAGAGGAAAATTTGTGACACTGACTACGTTGTTCAAACTCCAGATCGGAAAAGAAAATCTAGAGTGTGCCATATTAACATGTTGAAACGTTATTTTTCCAGAGTGAGTGAATCCCCGCTGTCTCTTGCTGCACCCGTGATGTCCGTGTCCGCTACTCCTCCTCAGTACCACCTAGCCGATGATGGGTTGGCAGAGAAAAGTGGTTTGATGCCGGCCGCGCGTTTGAGAAATTCAGAGGTACTGAGTAACTTGGAGGGTTTTTTGGCCCATCTGTCGGACTCAGCTCTTGCAGATGTTAGGGATTTGATAGAGGATAACCTATTGCTTTTCTCTGACCATCCTAGGCAAACGTCTGTCCTGTTCCATGACATTGACGTGGAGGGTCACAAACCCATTAAGCAACATGCGTATCGCGTAAATCCGGCCAAAAGGGCTATGATGCAGCAGGAGGTGAGCTATCTGGTTGAGCATGGATTAGCTGTTCCCAGTACCAGTGCGTGGAGCTCACCCTGTGTCTTGGTTCCGAAACCCGACCACACTCCTCGTTTCTGTAACGATTACCGAAAAGTAAATTCAGTCACAAAACCTGATTCATTTCCGCTCCCCAGAATGGAAGATTGCATAGATCGTGTAGGCTCCGCTAAATATGTGACAAAGCTGGACCTGTTAAAAGGTTACTGGCAAGTACCGTTAACGCCACGGGCCTCAGAAATTTCAGCTTTTGTCACACCCGATACTTTCCTCCAGTACACTGTTATGCCATTCGGGCTGCGTAATGCACCCGCTACTTTCCAACGGTTGATGCGTATCGTGTTATCTGGTGTAGAAAATTGCGAAGCTTACTTAGATGATGTTGTTGCTTACTCCTCCACCTGGGCCGACCATCTCCACACATTGTCCCTCATTTTTAGTCGTCTCCGTGAGGCCTCACTCACCCTCAACCTCGCAAAATGTGAATTTGGTAGGGCCACTGTTACCTATTTAGGTAAACAGGTAGGTCAGGGGCAGGTGCGTCCTTTGGCTGAAAAAGTGCAGGCGATTATTGATTTCCCGGTCCCCCCGTCCAAGAAAGCGTTGCGCCGTTTTCTTGGAATGTGTGGGTATTACCGGGGTTTTTGTCGAAACTTTTCGGACGTTGTTGCTCCTCTCACAGGACTTGTGAGTCCTTTAAAATCGTTTATTTGGTCCCCCGCCTGTCAAGCTGCCTTCGAGTCGGCCAAGGCATTACTGTGCAATGCACCAGTTCTCGCGGCGCCCTGTTTTACGCGACCCTTTAAGTTAGAGGTTGACGCCAGTGCGTGTGGCGCAGGGGCTGTCCTCTTGCAGGAGGACAGTCAGTCCATTGATCACCCCGTGTCTTACTTCTCAAAAAAGTTTAATAAGCACCAGCTTAATTACAGTACCATTGAGAAGGAAGCTCTTTCGCTATTGTTAGCCTTACAATATTTCGAAGTTTACCTTGGGTCTAGTTCACAGCCTATCTCGGTATTCACAGATCATAACCCATTGGTATTTCTGGCTCACATGCAAAACTCTAACCAGCGGCTGATGCGCTGGTCTCTCCTTCTGCAGGATTTTAACCTGCAGATCCGCCACAAAAAGGGTACGGAGAACGTAATCGCAGACGCCTTATCCAGGTGCTCAGCTTTATAGGAAGTAAACCTTTTAGGGGAAGGTTTACTTCTTGGGTGTGGGGGTGTTATGACTGGGGTCATCTGTGTAGTGTTTGTGGGTTTCTTTTGGTGTCTTTCTGGTTTCTTTATTCAAACAGGGATGTGCCACCACCAGGCGCGGATTGGTGGACGGTCTCCCACCCGTCCTGTGATTGGCTGCAGCCGGCATATAATGGAAGCCAAGATGGCGTCCGAGGCAGAGCAGACCAGAGCAGGGGAGAACAGCAGCAGAGCACAACCCTCGTCCTCCTCCTCTTCCAACCAGCCACTTGTAGCATACCGTGAAGCTGAATAAGTATTCTGTTTTTCTTTTGAGTTGGTTTTCTCCTGTTTTAAAGTAGTTAGGTAGGTAAGACTGATGTCATTATTTTTCTCCTTTGTTTTGGTAGGTCAGCGTCTTATTTTCTAGCTAGGTTCGTTTTTTGGTTTGTTTGTTATATTGGGGATGGGCAACGGCGAAGCCGTGGTTTGTCTTTGCCTCAACATACTGGGTTTTTCTCAACCTAGAGCTTTTTTTCAATAAATATCCCCTATACAAACTTAAAGTGTGTGTGGCTATTTGGGAGACGGGGAAGATTGGGGCCTATTCATGTTGCACCTTAGGCACCCCTAGACTGGGGCGTAACAACTTAGTGATGGTTCACTAAACTTCTCTAGATTGTAGCTAAAGTATATCAACAATAAGAGGACTCAAACCACATGAGGCTAAATGATAAGGTTATGATTAGTGATATCAGACAACGTATTGCTTTTTAATTCTCCTTTTGATTTTTGTATTTATTGTTTTACTTGGGTCGTGATTATGTAGTTTTTCCAAACAAATTATATTAATGTCATTATTTGTAAATATATAAAATGTATGGAGTTAATCTAAGCCAAAAGTTATTATTCAACTTTACATGTTTTAATTTAATTATCACTACAGATGCCTTAGCATTTAATCTTGTGCTTTGTCAGTTCATGTACTGTACACAGGAAAACATTTTCTCTGACACTTGGTAAACTTGCTTGGTTACAGCAAGTGCAGTATTTTATGTACTTAGTTCCAATGAACCAAGTTCAGTTATTTGTTAAAAAGAAAAACTCACTCATGCCATGACATTAAGACAACTGTTTATTAGAGCAGATTATTGATGCTGTCTTTTTGCCTTTAGTCCTGCACACGGGCTAAGTGTCATTTTACAATCGAGCTCCTGTTGGTTTCCTCTAAATGTCTTTCACTAAATCAACAACTCGGTCATCACACCTGACGCTTGGGAGGCTGTTTTCCGTCAAGGTTATTTTTCCGTAAGTACACAATTTGGCAATTTGGATGGTCACACAGGCAAATGAACAAAAAAGTAAACAACATATACTGTGTAAAGTACATTACACTGGTTAACAAGGACACACAGCACCACGCAGGGCGATCAGAGAGGGGCCGAGGACCAGTTCACATGTGGGCGGAGCAGGGGGGCGGGGCCAGGCAAGTCCCAGAGGCTCTGCAGGTTAAGGCGGGAATGAATGATTGAATGCATGGATGAATGAGTGAATCAATGATTGAATTAATGAATGGACGAATTAAAGGATGAATGAATAAATTAATGGATGGATGATTGAATGGATGAATAAACCCGTAGACCCGTGGTCAGTGCTTCCATTGTTTCACAGGGATGCTTCCTTTCGGGATCAGTGTGAAATGTGTTAATCTCACACAATCTCACTTAATTGAACAGTTTAGTTCAGTGTTACTTTTTGTTAATTTACTGAACCATAATAAATTCATTAATAAACCCTTTGATTTTGAAGCAGTGCAGTGATTTGACGCAAATCATGTGACCATCACTGTAAGAAAGCCACCTTACGCAGTCATAGTAAGTAACGCATCTGATGCAGGTGTATGATCAAACATACGACCCACAGGCTTTGATGGCTGGTCACAAAGGGCTGCCGGTATGGTCAACTTGCTCCACAACTGCTCCAGTACATGCCAACAACGAATATTTGAGCTTATATATTTTTGAGGTGGTATGACTGGATGCCAAAACACAGTGGTAAGGTTAATTCGGTGGTTGGTTGAGGGATGGCAATCCATAACCTGTTATTGACACTAAATGTCCTTATTGATTCAGTAAAGCAAAGTATTGATGGTCATTCACTCCGGTTCCCCCACTTGGCCTTTCCAAGCTGGCCTACTAGACGGCAGGAAATGTACTCTTCGAGGGCCAACCAGGGCTGGGGGGCTCCTCCCACACACAGTGCCCCAAGCCCCCCGCCAGCAACGTGCCAAGTTGAAGCCCACCGGGCAGATTTCCTGGACCCCATTTGCGGGTGTATAAATTTAGTATTGAAAAACTAAAATTTAAATGAATGTGAAAAGACTACCACCCTAAGCGTTAATAGAATGCCAGCTCTGATGGATCAAACCGTTTGGAACTGGTTCAGGTCACAACGTGCCCTGCCTTGAAGCAATGCACCGGTTGGCTGAAATGTAGTGCTTCATGAAAAAGACCCTCCAGAGCAGCGACTCAAGCCTACATACGATTCTGACATCGTGCGGATCTCTGCTGCGTTCCTACGCTGACGACGCGGTCAAACCTACGTACCCGTGTCCTAAAGCCAGCAAGTCTGTTGTGATTTCCAAGATGAAATATGCTGCTTCCAAAAATAGAGAAAAGGAAATGGCACTACTAGTCCTGCACTGCACCGACACACACAACACAGCAGGTGGAGCTGGTCAATGTGTGTCAGTGGGATACTCTCCCAAGCTGCACTTGGGAGTATAAAGGTCCCTTTAGACCACTGGCACCGTCCTTCCACGAGTCTCCACTGACGCTCTCCAGACCTACGTCACCCCTGACAGGCTCCATGTGGTGTAAATGGTAAATGGTAATGGCCTGTACTTGTATAGCGCTTTTCTAGTCTTCTGACCACTCAAAGCGCTTTAACACTACATGACATCATTCACCCATTCACACCCATTCATACACTGATGACAGGAGAACCATACACAGTGACACCTGCCATCAGTAACTACCATTCACACACTGTAGTCGCAGCTACAGGAGCAATGTTGGGTTAAGTGTCTTGCCCAAGGACACAACGACATGCAGGTTAGCCGGGCCTGGGATCGAACCGACAACCCTCTGATTGGAGGACGACCGTGCTCCCCACTCACCCACAGTCGCCCTAGTCGTGGTTGAAGTGTTGACCCTGATTTTTTAAGGGTTTTTGTGACTATGATTAAATGGTGTCTGGTGGCTTCTGATACAACTTTTTAACTAGAGGTCTCCATCAGCAGAAGGTTTGCTCTGCTGTTATGGGACTGGAGGTGGTTCTGTTCTCTCTTTGTGGCTTTGCACAATCATGGACAAGATGTCCTAAAGGTCCTCTGATAAATGTGGAAAATGAGACGTCCGCAGTCATGACAACCGAGCAGACTCCTTCTGCTGATGAGCAGGAGACCATTTCCTTCCCTTTTGATACTAGCACTGTTACCCATGGATACGACTCCAACCAGGAGTCCATGACGCACCGAGGTCACCGGTTTCAACAAGCTGCCGCTTCCGAAGAAGCAGCTTTTCTTGATTCAGGTGTGAAATGCCATGAATGTTTCTTAGAATACCGTCCCTGCTCTCCACATCCCTACCAGCGCCCCCCAGTGTTAACAGAGTCCCCTACAGCCACCATGTCCTGTCTCTGACGTAGGTTTCCCAATATTAGAGGTGGGGGGGGGAGTGAAGGTGGCGGGCCGGTTACTGCGGCGGGGTGCAGCGGTGGCTCTTGTAGGTCCCCAAGTGGCGGAAGCTCCGCCCACACTGCTGGCAGCAGTACGGCGTGGCCCCGCTGTGGATCCTCTGGTGGGTGTACAGGTTCCCCAGCTCTTTGAAGCGCCTGCCGCACTGGGGGCAGGCGTACGGGCTCTCGCCGGTGTGCACTCGCTGGTGTCTCTTGAGTCCCGACAGCACGGAGAAACCTTTCCCGCACTGGGGGCAGGGGAAGGGGCTCTGGGCCCCGCTGTGCACCAGCCTGTGGCTCTTTAAGCGGGCCGCGTGGCGGAAGCGCTCCCCGCACTCCGGACACATGAAGGGCTTCTCTCCCGTGTGGATGCGCTGGTGCTGCCGCAGGTTGCCAAGGTAGTTAAAGTGCCGGCCGCAGTCCCCGCACTCGTAGCCGCCTTCGATTTTAATCTCCTTTTTTACCGCGCCGCCACCCCGGCCGAGGCCCGCGGCGTCCCCGACTCCGGCGTCCTCGTCCTGAGGCCCTCCGCCTCTCCTGGGGTCAGGGCCTCCATCCTCCACGGCAGGCGCGGCCGAGCAGCTGGACTGCAGCGCCTGAAGGGCCTGTGGCCCGGCGGAGTCTGAGTGTATCAGTTTGACGTGTTCCTCTAGGAACATGGAGTCGGGGCAGAAGGTTCCGCACAGAGAGCAGATATAAGTGTGGCCGGGAAACTGCTGGCCTGAAACCACAGACAGACATTTTTTCATCAGCTTGACAAAAGCAGAACTACAAATCACACAACTCTCCACCAGTCCGCCGGGCTTTATTCAGCAGAGTGGAGTCACAACCAGTCCATCAATCCCATCGTCGCTTATAGATAATCAGAGATTCAAATTACAATTGCAAAATTAATTAATTCATTTTAATTATTCAAACATAAAAATAACAGGAACTTCAAGGTAATAAAAGCATAAAGGAATCATGATGTATTTCCAAAGAGTTTTACACAAATATTTGCTTTAATATCTGCATGAATTAAGTCTAAATCTTTAGTTTATGATGTTATTCTTTCATATTTGTTGTTACTACAAAGCACTTTGTTTTGGGGTTGTTTTTGTAATGATACAATAAAGTTCCTGAATGTATGATTAAGATTGTATTATATTTATGCAAAGGGGTTAATTACAGCTGCTGGTGTTTTTTGAGAGTTATAACACCTTCAATTTCAGCTAATACCTAGTGGCTTCATTGAGTTGGTTTCTATAGTAACAGTATTGGAAACTTTATGCAGCATCCTTATTAAATGTCTCCTTGACCTCAAATACATGCGGTTTTGAGGAGAAAATGTCTTCATTTAAGCTGCTGTATAATTTAAATCAAGAACATATTCTTACAAAGTTTCTTTTTTTAGCTTCAAATGAATGTGAAAACAAAACTATTTTGGTGTCGTCGACCACTTAAAGATTTGCTTAAGTCCTCTGGGTAAACTGTGGCTGTTAGACTTTGGAATCAAGCGGCAGATGGAAACAAAAAGTTAATTTCCAACATAAGTTCCGTTGCTCGCCCCCCCTGCTTCCCACCAACCTGCCACAGGCCGGTCTGTGCTGCCCTGCAGCGGACTGCCGTCCTCCCCTGCCGAGCTCTGGGGCTCCATGCTGAACTCAGCGGACTGGACGTGTGACAGCGGGGCCTGGTCCTCCTCCCTCCTCGGGGACACATTTCCCTCATCCTCATCATCATCATCTTCTTCTGTCTCGCCGGTCGGGGTGTCCTCACATTCAGACTCCTTCATGACTGGGGGAGAACATGATGCAAATGGTCGTCATTTCATGTATGCCAATTTCACTAGTGAAACAATACACATACATACAGTTGTGTTAGTTTACATGGGAAAAAAGTAAATGCTTTAATATCAATGTCATATATATTTTGTGTATACATCAATTAAGAAGAAGAAGAGGTGAGTTCTCACGTATTGTGAGAAACACGGAGAAAAGTTTCATAATATAACAACATGCAAAAGGATGCGTTGTTTTGCGAAAAATATATTGCGCAAAATATCTTGTATCGATCTTATCAAAACTAGACTAGTTTGTTGCCATAACAGCAAGTCATTTTATAAGATTAAAGAAGTGCAGTCTTGCTCACTGATTAAAAAAAAAATAATAATAATTATGACGCACAAGCTAAATGTAACAAGTAGAGTCAAAGTTACTCAGAGTTTGGACACGCCTTCTCATTCAGTTGGATTTTGACTGGTAGATACTGTACGTTAAATAGGAATGTTAAATATTTAATGCTTTTAACTTTCCTAACGTTTCCTCCCTCCCCATGGCAATAATGGGCTTGTCTCCCCCCCTACCCTTCATGTCTGGCGTGTACTCCATCGGGGCGATCCACTCGTAGTCGTACATCCGCCTGCTGCCGGAGGGCAGCATGCTGAACAGGTCATCGGTGGCCGACTCGGAGTCCTCGTGCGTTGGCCCTGAGCCGGCCATGCCACCGTCCGGCCACAGGTGCAGGGAGTGCGGGTCTGGATCCGGGCGAGCCTCCCTGTCGCCGCTGGCTTGGCTGCTGTGGTCTCCGTCCATGTCCGCGCCCCCCCTCGAGTTCTTGTCTTTCATCAGATAGTCACAGATGGCGTCTATGTTCTCCTTCTTCACCCCCGGCATGGCGGGCTTGGCTCTCCGGGGATCGCCGCTCATGTGTTTGACGTGGGAGCAGAGGTCGTGTTTTTTGGAGCCGATGTCTGCGGGGAAAAGGTCCCTGCCGTCCCTCTGAGCGGTGTCCAGTCTCGACTTTAACACGTCGATCTCGTCGGTTTTCTCGCGCAGCTCCATCTTCAGGACTCGTATCCTGATGCTGACCATCTTGCGGATGTCCGACAGCGCTGTCTCCAGCACCGCGGCGATGTTCCTGCCGAGGTGCTCGGTGATGTCGCTGACCGAGAACAGCAGCTCTTCGTCGTGCTCCAGCTCCAGAAAATCACTGTCGGCTCGGCTCGCCGACCTGTGGGGCTCCACGAAGGCGCCGTGGAGCTCGGGCGACATGCCGGCCTCAGCCAAGCTGTGGTTTCTTTTGCGACTCATTAATCAGTTTTGCTGTGAGCTCAATTATTTCTGAAGAGTTTGTTAGCTAAAAGCTAACCAACAAGCTAATGTTTGGGTGATGCTGAAATACTGTAGTCACGTGTGCCAGAGTATTGGCGGATGTGGGAGGAACCTGGCTTCACAACAAAAGCACAGTTATGTCAAACAACTGACTAGACGTATTTTGGCCAATTAGACTTTTATTTTGAAAGGAGTAAATGGCAGTAACGTTGGTCGGCCTGATAACTTGATAGAGACGCAACAGAGTTGCAGTAATGGCTGGACGCTGAGTTGGATGTTTCTAATCGGTAGCGCCCCCTAAAGTATACAGTAGGAAACCGGGTGTGAGAGCAAAATGAGATAAAAAGCGCCTTCATATAGGACAAGGATGTTTACGTTGTAACTACGTGGCGGTTGTGTTGGTCACTACAGTATTTAATCGTGTTTCATGGCTTAAATACTATGATACATTTATAAAATATCTTCTGGGTTGTACGGTCTTGTCAATTCCTGTTTGGATGTGTTCATCTTCATTGTTTTCATCCTAACAAAGCTAGAGATCTATTAATACTCACGTGTTTCTCACTTTCTAAAAAGAATGTTTAAAACGGGTTTTAACAATATATTATAGTTGTAAATAGTTTGAGATCAGAGAGCTATACTACACAGTCCCTACCACTAAACTCATGACAGCTGATTCTGAACAGAATGGAACTGAATAGATCACAACTAATAAACTGAGCATAAATAGAAACAAAAAAACAAAGGACAATTTGTCCATCTGTTCAAATCAATGCAAAACTAAAATAAAGGCTATTTTATTCTAAAGAAATCATCAGCGGCTGCCGGTCCACCAAGCCAATTCTGAACAGCCTGGGAACTCAAAAGTGGTTTTAATTTATTATTGTTGGCGTAAACTAATAAATCAATCCCTGAACAAAGCATTATTAAACCCTTTCGAACTTATAAACACTTATATAAAGAGATAATCATAGTCATCATAGTAAATAAATATCAAAAGCTAATTTACCAAAGTTATTCCAATATAGTTTTTCATGTTTTAAAAACACCTGTAAACTACAGCAACAGAAGGATTCCGGGATTTTTAAAGGCGCACTATGTCATTTAGAAATGTGAAAAGTGTAATAGTGGCAAACCCATGAACAATTATCCCCTATTCTTATTAGCAGCTATCCGTCCATCCTACTGTGCACTATCTATCTATCACTTTCTATGCTCTGCACCAAACCCAGATCTCAGAAATATGTTTTTCTTGACAATACATTTTTGTTCTATTGCAACATCATTTTTAAGAGATCAGGCTGCAGCAAGCACACAGTTACGCCCCAGTTAAACTCCTAACAGGCCATTAATGTGATGTAATGTAACAAGCCATTACTCCTAGTGCATTACTAGTGCAGATGAAGATTTATAGAAATAGCTGGTGAACATAGTGCAGCATTTAGCAGCTAAAGACATGGATTTGTTTCTCTGTTGTTGGTGGAGTCTAAAAACATGAAAAAAGAGAATATTTCACTTAAACACATGCGGTAGACACAAACATGGCTCCAAATGAATGATAATGTTGAAATTTGTTGTCATTTTGCCCATAGTTGGAAAATATGATGATGCACCTTTAAGTAAATGAGCAATTTGAAAATTCAGTTGAAGCTCATGGCGTCTAAAAAGTAAAGCAGGGATCACAGTTTTATGCATTCACACGCATACCACTAAAGAATGCTGTAGTTCACACCCCTAAGTCACCTGACAACGACGTGTGTGGAGTAAAAGTGTAATAAAACAAGTAAGTATTATATGACGCCTTAAAGAACTTAATTGCTGAGCTACCGAGTATCTTGTGACTCTGTTCCTGTGATTGTCTGTTAGCTGCTGTTAAAAACGCTCCAGTTTAGGAGCAACGCTGCTGCTTCTTGGCTGCAGTGCTGAGTGGACAGAGGAACTGACTGGAGGAAAGGAAATGCTGAGTCGGTTCCTGGGTTGTTTGAAGGGAAAGCACACACACACACACACACACACACACACACACACACACACACACACACACACACACACACACACACTTTGGATTAAACACTCTCTCAAACCTACACACACAATAACCAAACAGAGAGGCAACTTTGACGGAAACGTTGTTACTCTTTCTAGGATAGACAGAGTACGAAAATACAGGTATATAAGTAGGAAATAATTCCAGCTGATCTTTATGTAAGAGCAGGGAAAAAAGTAACCCGGTGTCTTTTACGGTCTGATTTACAGATCAGGCTTTATTTGCTCAGTGTGTGATAATTAACTTGAAAGCTGTACACTTTTTGAGGAGGGATTTTGAGTCAAGTGAACCGGAGTCACACAGGAAACTTACAGAAAGCAACTTTCTTCTATATGGAACTGAAAATAAAATACTATATAATAATATAATATATGGCAAACCACAATAAATAGGTAACTGCGTAAATGAATGAACAATAGTAATTTTATAAAATCATCTACAAGAATATTAGAACAAGATAATTACATAAATAAATCTGATAAAAGAAATAATAATTATATTAATAAATTGAATCTCTGTGTCCACAATGTTTTTTTTAAGTTGGTCTGTTATTGATTCGGGTGTATTTTCATTGGATAATAGTTAATACAACAATCATTTAGGAATATTTGGAATAGAATAGAATATTCCAAAATTATATGAAAACAATCTCCTTCTCTAACTTGTTCACTTTAAAATCCACTCTACCAATTTATTGGTTGACTTAAATGTGTGCCAACCACAGACGTCTATGTCCTTCAACGATATATTATTTATCATTATGTTGAGAGAAAAGGAGTTTTATTTTGAAAAGAAACCCGGAGACAATTACAGCAGTAAGCTTGACGCTGCTAAGGGACCTCAGTGGGAGCGGACCTTTGTCGGCCCCACTGCGCGGAGAGCATGTGATGGTGAGGTGGTGACTGCTCACTGGGGACGGGGAAGACTGCACAGTTCTGCTCGGACATGTCGGCCAGGTCAGACCGGGCCGGCGGGTACCGGGGAAAGATGTCTGCAGACGGCCTGCAGCACCGGCAGGTGGCAGAGAAAACAAACGGACACAGCAGAAAAGGTATTTGTACTACTAATATTAGAATGTATGTGCAAAGGCACTTCAGAAACACAGCAATATAGTATCATCCTCTTACAATACCAAATTATAAATGTTGTTATTAAGCCATAGTCTAATATGAATATGATTTCTTTCAATTATGTGTTGATTTCAAAGACAGTTATATAATATATAATTGTATTCATAAAATGGCATCTCCTACTTTATTATTAATGCGCTCATTTATGTACAAGATCTCACCAAACTGTTGAGAATTTTAAATAAAAGTGAGGTTCTCCATGTTTTCACAGTGCACGGTTTCACCAGAGATTCTTCATGTCTGAGGAGAACTGTGTCAACATGTGAGGAAAAAGTCCCAGCAGGTAACTCCTGCTTCTTCTGTTTGAGAAGATTGTTTGTTGATGTCTTTTATTTGGTGGAAGTGCAGAGGCAGACTGGGAACGTGGGGTAAGTGTGGTACAATGTTGTAGTTTTGAGGCATTGGCTCTAATCAAATGGCATTGCTGTAGAATCGGTACATTTCTTTATGGTGCCCAGAAAGTAAATCCCAACAACTTTGGTCAACTCTTGGTCAACTCATGAAAAATGTTTTCATTTTGACATGAACTCCAAACCTTCAAAGCTAATGGCATTCAGCCTCAGCTATACCAGTGTGAGGACTAGCAAATGTGATCATTCTAATATGCTAAACCCAAATTGTTGTTGTTCAGCATGTTGCATTCGTGCCAAGTCAAACATTTTCTGTGTTTGGCTGAATATTTAGCTGATTTTGATGTGTATTATTTCAGAACGACACTTCTGCAAGCCGGCAAATAAATTAAGATTCCATACATATTAAGAGTAAAATATTACCCAAAGCGGGTCATGTTTTAAGGCGTGGCTACCGACAGGTAGCTGCACCATATCTTGCATCCCTCCACATTCCAACATGTGGTGAATTCATGTACACTGTTTCCCAAAAATCGATATGGTGAGTGCCAAAATCTAAGCTGGTGCTTCACTCCAGAAAGCGATGGGTAACATCACAACATCCAAGTCCCCTTTTTCAATACTGTCAAGAGCCAGAAAAAAGGATTTATAGTTTGGAATATCTAACAATTAACAGTAGCGAGGCCACTGATGACTCTCAGGCAGTGAGCTGAGCTTCAGCTCCATTAATGATCCACCTCTTTACCTATTTTTTTTACTTGCTGAGAGTTAAACGTCACTCATCTTTACGTTTATTGAGGCCCTGCCAGCTGCTGCTTCCTGTTTTTTTGAAAACAAAAGCTTCACGGTAAAGAAATCCTTCCTTAACCGTTGCTTCAAATTGCACCGTCCGCTTTCACGAGTCATAAGAGAACACATGACTCGACCTCAGTGAAAAGTCATGTGAGCGATTCTTTTACACCTTGAACCTGTAAGTTCCTCTGAAGTCACTTATTAATCGCTGAGTCAGTCACACTGCCATCATCGCCTCAGATCACCAGAAGATCAGACGGAGCTCAGTGTCAAACCACAACATCCATCCGTTATCAAACTCCAGATAGTTAACAGACTGATAATTTTCTTTCTCTTCTTCAAAAGTATCGTCCTACTTTCTGTCCTTTAAGCTCTACTGTATTTCAGGTGATAAAGGACAATCTTGCTTCAGACCGCTTTCCTCCAAATACCTAAACTTTCATTTCACCTCAGCAACAGAAAATGCTGACCTCCTTTTTTTTTTAGCAAACATTAAAAGGGGAGGAGATGTCCTTTGTGTTGTTATGGAATTAGTAAATTAAAATAGTACTACTTACTGTAGGGTGTTGCAGTTGACCATTTAAAAGATATCTATATTATCATATATATATATTTATATGCTACGTGATCTGGTCATGCCAGAGGACAAACATGGAGCGTTCGCCATGGTGATGGTGTGCCTTGTGTTCAGCTCTGCCGCTGCTGCTGGATGTGGTGTGGGGTCCGGAGCGTCTTCCTGCAGACAGGGACTCACAGGAAATGCTGAGAGGGAAACTGCGCAATCTGCAAGCTGACAGCACAGAGGTCAACGCTCTGTTCACGGTAGAGCTCATGACACACACACACACACACACACACGCACAAACACGCACACACACAGATACACACTGACGTGGCTCCTACAAAATTCATCTCCTAGCATTTTAAGCCGTGCAAAAATTCACTTCCTCCATGAATTATGAATGAATCAGGTTGTCCGTGTGCTCAGTTTGCTGTTTGTTTGAAGTTTGAAGAGTTCTGTTGCAAATAGTCATGCTAAGGCTAAAAGGATACTTCACCCGAAATATATCATTTTCTTCAATGTGTATTTTCTGAAAATACAAATAATACAAAAATGTTATAATGATTAGAAAGCTTGAATGTGAAGCATAAAAGTTTCTTTTTAAAGTGAAATTCATGAAATCTTTTATCTGTTTATAGGAGCTGTCTACTCACCTCATCTCCATCGACAGTGAAGAGAAAGTCATTTATGTGACATTCAAAACCTTTGAGGAGATATGGAAATTCACCACATACTATTCAATAGGTGGGTTTGGAAGAAGTTTGCGAATTTAAATGTTTCAAAGCACAGGCAAAAATGCAAAAGATAGTAATTCTATTATTATTTCCACAAGGAGGATTCTGCGATCAGTTGTGTGTGAGTGTGTTCGTGAGTGTGCGTCTGTCCAAAGGTCATCTCACATTCATACACCAATTGCCTGCATATATATTTTTTAGTTTGAGTTAAGTGGGTTTTTTTTACAACAATTTATATCCCTTTTGTTGGCTGGACTGTGCATGGGGCCCACTTGTGGCAATCACACCAGGCAGAGATCTGCATTCTACGGAGTGCATCTTCTGACTTATATTATGGAATATTTAAATAGTTAGGAATGCAGAAATGTACTCGGATAGGTTTGCTAGCCCAGCTGGTGTTGCTGTTTAGGGCTTTCCACTTTAGAAGATGGATGGATTCATTCACATCTCCTCTCCTCCAGGTTTCCTGGGTCACTGCATAGAGAATCTGTTGTGGGACCAGAAGTTTTGGCTCAGCTCTTTGGAGGAGGACATTGAAATTAAGGTCTCTGTTCAAGAGGACACACTCCACCTGATCTACAAAGGCATTCTCATGCAAGAAGGTACAAAGGAATTTTGTGGAATTTAGGTTTAAAGCCTGCTGGGCTCGCCTACTGAAGTGGTTCTTAAGTTCTGATGTTGCCCCAGCATTTAATGCACCACTACAGCAAAAAGCAGGAAACATGTGTTGGGCATGGTGAAATTAAATCATTGACGTCAATAGAAGTATTAATATTCACTAAGATAATTCACAAAATAAATAAACAACAGGGCACCACCGTAAAAAGGGACTAATAACCAAACTATAAATCAAGTCTCATAATTGATATGCACTCGTTAAGAGCAAGGAATTGAAGGTTTGTACGCTGGCTATGTTTCCAACCAGCACTACAATACACATATACACAAGAAGAGTCACAGAAAACTGCTCCTTAATGTATAACAGGGTTTATTAACTTCCAACAATAAAAATCAGATCAATACCATTTGAAATCAACAAAAGCTATTATACGATAGCTGTAAAGCTAACCTACTGACCACATGGCAAGCCATGTTGCTAGCAGGCTGTGTTTGTACACCACGTGTGTTTCTCACATAGTTGCCCATAGCCTAACTGTGTGTTGATAGGGTTTGCTGTGTTTCCTCGAGTCTCGTTTAACTCCGTCCGCTCGGTTCTTTGTTGCGGGAATCGATTGGGGATCATGAGGACTGTTGGGTTTCTTGGTGGCGTAAAAGCTGTTCGTGCTCTTGTAATCCAAGGGGATGGAAGAAGTTTTTCTTCTTGGTGAGCTGCTTGGGCCGGAAGTGAAGACTGAGACAGCCGGACTTCTCTGAAGCACCTAGAAAATGCATTTGAAAATCAGTCTTGGTTTTATGGTGGGAGATCATTTGACATCAATTTCACTCAAAAACATGATTGATGAGAAAACTGAGCAGACCATCTTATTAGTGAGGACGAGGACAGCTGTACCATGTGCTGTATTCTAGTCTCAAGGTACAAAAGCCCCCCGCCCCAACATAAAACCATTGCTGAATCAAGAACATCATTCTCTACGACTAGGCAATCAAACAGCCTGGTTGGGTTCGGGAAAAGATTTTGATTTGGGTACGTTTGTGTCGGTTATATAAAAGAGAAAATATAAAGAGGATCAACATGTTACAGTGTCGCGGTGTCACCTTCCCTGTGTATTTAAGCCAAGTGTGTCTCTTGTCCTTTGTCGAGGCGTTACGTTGTATGTGTTTTCCATGTCAGCGTGCTCCTGGTCTGCGTTTTTCCCCCCAGGCATTTTTGATAATAAAGTCATTATTATTTGCCAGTCTGCGTTTGGGTCCTGATCCAGCCACCCCGTTGTGACGTACAGTGACCAAAAGCTTTCCATCCAGGTCCCTCCGAACACAAAAGTGAAATATCCCCTCAAAATGATTTAGTGAATAACAAAAACCAATGCATTTTAGAATATCTGAAATACATTTCACAAAACAAACTCCACTCCAATCCACTGTATCCTTAGGTTCGTTGTTTGCTAGATGTAGTACCAACCAGATGTTTGACAGCTCTACCTCTGGAGGTGATCTGTACCTGGAGAAGGGAGACATAGCCCAGTTTGAGCCTCCCTTCCTGGGCTCAGGGTGGACTGTCCTCTGCCTGGCCGATGGAGCCCGAGGTACTGCACCCAGACCTGGGCTCGAGCTGGTTGTCCCTTTTCATCAGTAAGTCCTATTGCAACACAGAGCTACTCTCTCTGATCTGAGAGCCCACAATATGAGGTGTTCACATCATCCCATCTGTCCACAGATGGTTTCTCAAATCCTGCACAGAGAGCATTTTAATTGGTGATGGTAAACCCTCCTGTGACTTCCCTCTGCAGTTTGGTAAGTGCAGTAAAATATATTGAGGATAGTTTCCCAGGAAAGAATTCAGTAAACATACATATGAGAAACAATGTTTCATGAATTACCACGTTGTTGAAGTCTCTTTTTTTATTTGGTATTTACACACAAATAATCAAAAAAAAAGTCATTTAGCACTGCCCCTACAACTTACAACTGTACGTTCCTTTAGAGTGGCACTTCAACTTTAACGTTTGTCAATATTTCAGCTATTTCAAATGTTTCAACTGCAAATGTCATGTGAGCAACAAACAAGTACAGTGAACATGCAAGTTCAAAAGAGAGAACGTTAAGAAATGGTTCTCTGAACTATTAACCTACTTTCAATGATTAGATGCTAAGGTAAACTTCAACAGTTTACACAATATTTGATCTGCTGACGTCCAGCTGACGTCACTTTTATTATTGTGAACGACACCTACTTTAGCTTTCCCAGTGGTGTATGGTCAGTGAGTAGTAAAGAGAACATTGGAAGCCTTACAGAAAGTTATGGGATGTCTAGTTTCATATGGTCCTTCTTCCATGTGAAGCCTCAGGAAGCTGTCTGGCCACAGCAGGGTATGATGCTGAGGGCCCGGATGAGCTGAGTGTGGCGCCCGGTGATCGCATCGTCATCGTTGGAATCCTGGTGTCTTGTTGTGATTGGTTCACAGCGAGGAAGGAGGCAACAGGAGAAGTAGGTTTGGTCAAGACAAGCCTGGTGAAGCCATCCACTGACATCCACAAGTGAGTGTATTGTGTGTGTAAAATTGTTCTACAATAGTGTTTGCGGAAATAATGTAATCTTATTGTCTTCTTGTCACTTTTCTAGCTTAGCAGATGTCTTTCTGGATGGAGAGGAAGGGACATTTTTCAATCCGCAAGAGGACAAAGTCATAGAAGAAACAAAGGCCTTATTGAAGAAGAAATCTGAAAATGATACTGGTCATAACTACAAACTTGGTGAGACAGAAGGGATTCATAGGTCACACTAATCAATACAGTTTTGTGTCATGTGTACAAAAAATACAAGAAGTTATCCAAAGTCAACAACAAAATAACATATATTCTGTCGCTGCTCTTTTAGGCTCGACAGATTTAAAGAGTATCTTGATTAGCATGTTTGCCAGCCAGTGTTGGTGTGGAAAAGAAATAACACACAAGAGTCAAACAGTCTCCTATTATATGTTAAAAATGTTATATATAAATATTATGATAGACTTTTATTGTGAGAGGTTGGAAAGGAAAGAGTAGATCTGGTCTCTTTGTCAAGGTCAAGAATGGAAATAAAGTAAAAATAACAACAAATCAGCAAAATAGCTTGAATTTATACTATGCCTCTAAAGCTTTCAGCACGAGTGCTACAGCATTCAGATTGACTGATTGGCTGTATAAACCAGTTGTTGAGGTTTTAGGGTGTTTTTATTCACTTTCTGTTACTTTGTTGTTTAATTTCAGATATGATCAGTTACCAAGATGCTGATAAAATAATACCATGTAAGTATCTTCACCTACAGTACATGTCACTATCATGTGTTATTTATTTTGTCCTTATGTAATTCTTTGCCCCTTGAAATTACGCTTTCACAGTCAGCTCTTCAAGCAAATCTCAGACTCAGCAGACTGACTTGAAGACAAATATTCAGAGGTTTCTTGATCAAGGACAAAAGTCATTGCCCCCATCCATAGTGACAATGAACGGGACTTTAGAGGACACTGACCTCAATTCAGAAGCCAAAAAACCAAGTCCTCCCTGTTTCATTGTTCACCCGGTGGTAGAAGGAGACAACAACACGGAAATCTTCATTCTGCTTTTCGCTTTCTTGGAGGGACGAGACTACAAGATAGAGTTTGGCCCCCTTTATGGACTGAATTCTGAACTCCTGGCCTCCTCCACCTTTACTGGTCACTCGGAAGAGGATGAGCTGATTGCTTTCCTGGGGGTTGCCAGGGAAACAGCCAGGAAGAAGCGACTCCTTTGGTCACAGACTCGTTTGTGCTTTCTGCTGGGCAAACTCTGTGCTGGAAGATCAAAATTCAGCCAGGCCCGGGTTTACTTTGAGGAGGCCCTCAGTGTGCCACGAGAAGGCTTTGCGGACCTCAGGCTTTTGGCCAGCATCTACTCCAACCTGGTCGCTATATACCTTTTGCAGAAAAATACCGAAAGTTTCTTTGCTATGACAGAGCGACTTGTTGCCTTGCTATTTGGGACCCCAGACTGTCTGGAATGCCTAGTGGACAACTCTGCTCTTAAATACATCCTCAAGAAAGCCATTCTGTCCCACAACGGGATGGCAGAGGCACGGGCTTGTTATCTACTGGCGAAGCACCACTGGACTCATGCTGAAGGGGTACGAGTTGTTCCTTATCTTGAGAGACTGCTTGTTCTTTGCACTGAAACACAAAGAACATGGGGCATCTCGACCAGTCACGAATACCTTGCCCTGGGAAGGCTCTACAGCGAACTCGGGCTTCCCCACCTCAGTGTCAGTTCGGCGAGGAGAGCTTCTCAGCATCCCTCTGCTACACTGACAAACTGCCTGAGCAGCATGGCTCTACTATTGAACAACGTCAACAGACTGAATGGGATCACAGAACAGGAAGTAACCCTCCCACCTCAAATGGCTCCCTATCTACACCAAGCCCTTTCTTCTAAAAAAGTTCAGGGTGGAGGAAGTGATCAGCAACATGTTTTGAGCCATCAGCTTACCGTTAGTCTCTGCCAACTCTTTTGCAAGCACAGGATGGTTGGACACGCTATCAGCCACATACACACTCTCATTGACAGTAATAGACTCCCACAGCGACTCCCCATCTCAGTCCCAGAGAGAAACGGTACCCTCATCTGGTTGGCATGGCTTCACATTGACAACAAGCAGCCAGATGTTGCCTTGGATATCCTGGACTCTGTCCTTGCTTCCATGCCTGAACATTGCACTACCCTTCAGGAAGGTCGGTGGATTTCTTTGGTTGTTTTTGTGTTCAGATAAAATAACATTTAATGTTTCAGCGGCAAATATTTCCAGAAACTAATCATGAACTAACATCAGATACTCCGCAAGGGAAATTTAGATTTCCCTGATTCAATTTCTGTTATGGTTTCAGTTTTATTGTTATTCAGTTTTATTGCTAACAAAGATAATCTGAGAAAAATGTTCCTTGAAGATATTTCTACAGTGGAAATGAGAGTGTGCTCTATCAAGAAATTATACTACTAGTTAAAAAACAAATAAGTCAAACATTGAAGTTGTTAGCTAACTTTTAAATTTTAACTGAACAACTTCCGGATTCAAAGCTCAATGTATCATGAATTGTGCCTCTGGAATGCAATTCAGGCCTCAGTAGGACTTATGTTTGAGCAGAAGAAACTCGGAAACTTTTTAAAAGATGTAAACATATGGTTGCTTAAAATACAATAAGTGTTCATCAGGAGGCTAAACCCTATGTCATCAGTAGATGTGTGTGATTTAACACAAAGGTGTGGTCCTCAACATGCGTGGCGTGGCATTTCGGTGCATGGGTGACCTCTGCAAGGCGGCACAGAGCTACGAGGCGGCTGTGGACGTCTGCCAAGAGTATGAGGACATTCCAAACTGGGCGGTAGCGCAGGCTAACCTGGGTAAGTAAATGTTGCTTCAAGGAAAACACTTTTATTTTGATTTATTGAACATGTATTACAAAATCATTGCAATAGTTACATTTTTTTTATGGCTGTTGACATATTAGGTATGGCCTAATATGCATATTTTAACATAACATTTGAGAAAACTTGTTGTGGCCGTGATAGCGCTACCACCGCCGGGATCCGTAAGGACGCACAGACACGCGTTGAGAGCAATACGACTTATTTTGTAAGGGATCAGTGGGCAGGATTGAGGCCGCTCGTCGCGCTGTTGCTCGGCTCCGCTCTGTCCTGCTCAGCTCTCGTGCTCTGCTCCACTCTCGTGCTCAGCTCTGCTCTGCTCACGTCCCTCGATCCGGATCCTGCTCACTGTTTTTACCAGAGAGACAATCAGTGCAGATTATTTCCACCTGTGCTTTCTCCTCACCTACCGTCCCCTGAACCAATCCCCCGCTCTCCCCCTGCAGCTGAGCTAACCACGACCCGCCACCACATACCCCCACCGCCCAACTTAGGCCGGGGAACCATCCGGCCGAACCGACCCCCCCCCCCCCTCCCTCCTGAGGGCGGAAAAGGAAGGCCACGACCATCTGTGCCCCCGGCCTATGGATCACCTTGAAGTTAAAAGGCTGTAGAGCCAGATACCACCAAGTGATCCAGGCGTTGGCATCCTTCATGCGGTGGAGCCACTGCAGCGGGGCGTGGTCCGAACAGAGGGTGAACTGGCGTCCCAGGAGGTAATACCGCAGGGAGTCGACCGCCCACCGGATGGCCAGGCACTCTTTCTCGACCGTACTGTACCTGGCCTCCCTCTCCGACAGCTTCCGGCTGATGTGGAGGACCGGGCGGTCCACCCCCTGCACCTGCTGGAACAAAATGGCCCCCAGCCCTCTGTTTGACGCATCAGTCTGCAAGACAAAAGGGAGAGAGAAGTCAGGTGTATGGAGCAGTGGTTCCCCACAGAGGGCTCGTTTCACCCCCTCAACCGCCCACTGGGACCGCTCCGTCCACTGGACCGGATCTGAGGCACCTTTCCGGGTTAGGTCAGTTAAGGGGCTGGTCAGCTCCGCAAAGCCCGGGATGAACCTTCTGTAGTAGCCCGCCAGCTACAGCAGGGCAGGCTGCAATGGCTGCGGTCTTGTCCACCTGCGGGCGCACCTGCCCGCCGCCCAAGTGGTACCCCAGATACCGTACCTCCCTCCGTCCAACTTCACACTTCCCCGGGTTGGCGGTGAGCCCGGCCTGCCTCAAGGACTCCAGCTCCGCGCCCACCCGCCGTACATGCTCCGCCAGCGTGATGCTGTGGATGATGACGTCATCCAGGTAGGCGGCAGCATACACAGCGTGCGGACGCTGTTGGCCGGGGAAGGTGGCCGGGGCGCCGAACAACCCAAAGGGAAGTGTGGTGAATTGGTATAATCCAAACGAAGTGGAGAACGCCGACTTTTCCCTGGACTCTGGTGACAAGGGATTCGGCCAGTAGCCCTTGGTCAAATCCAGTGTCGTAAAAACTGCGCGGTGCCCAATCGGTCCAGGAGTTTGTCGACCCAGGGCATCGGGTACGCGTCAAACCGTGACACCGCATTCACCCTGCGATAATCCACACAGAACCTTAACGAGCCGTCCTTCTTGGCGACAAGAACGATGGGGCTGCACCAGGCGCTTTTGGACTCCTCTAATACCCCAATCTCCAGCATAGCGGCCAATTCTCGCTGAACCATTTTCCTTGTGTTCAGGTAACCTGTAGGGCCGTGTCTTCACCGTCACGCCTGGGGACGTCTCAATGTGATGCACTATGAGGTCCGTGCGACTTGGCAGGGAGGAGAACACATCATTAAATTGATCTTGCAACCGGGCTATGTCCGCTTGCTGGGCTGCAGAGAGACTGGCGTGGGACGGGAGCCGGGTCGGATCGGTGGACTTTGGGACCTCTGGCCCCAGCTCCTTGCTCTCTGCGACTGCAGACACCAGGGACACGGACTCCGCCTCCCTCCATGCTTTAAGGAGGTTGAGGTGGTAGATCTGCGTGGCCCCTCTGTCAGATCGCACCACCTCGTAGTCGACGTCCCCTACCCGCCGTGTGACTACAAAGGGCCCTTGCCACTTGGCGAGTAGTTTTGAGCTGGAAGAAGGAAGTAATACAAGCACTTTTTCTCCCGTGAATTGTCTCAGCTTCGCCCCTCTGTTGTACAGCCGTTGTTGACGTTCCTGGGCCTGGAGCAAATTCTCACGTGACAACTCACGCAGTGTGTGGAGTTTGGCTCGCAGATCCAGGACGTACTGAATCTCGTTCTTACCGGGGCTCGGACCCTCCTCCCAGTGTTCCTTAAGCAGGTCGAGCACCCCCCGTGGTCTCCTGCCGAACAGCAGCTCGAAGGGAGAAAATCCTGTGGAGGCCTGGGGAACCTCCCTTACTGCAAACAACAGAGGGTCGAGCCATTTATCCCAATTACGTTCATCGTCGTGAATAAACTTACGAATCATCGATTTCAGCGTCTTGTTCAGCCGTTCCACCAGGCCGTCAGTCTGGGGATGGTACACACTGGTCCGAACGGACTTTACCCCCAATAATTTCGTACAGTTCCCGTAGGGTGCATGAAATGAACGAGGTGTCCATGTCAGTCAGAATCTCTTTCGGGATTCCGACTCGGGAGATGACCTAAAACAGCGCCACCACACTTGTAATTCTGAATAAAATTGTATCCTAATTTAATTAATCAACTGGGGAAGTTCCATGGTGGAATCTTCTAATGTTCATTCATCTGTAGTGTCTCCACATAACATGTGATTCTTCCCATTCAATTCAATTTATTTGATAAATTCCAAAATGTCTCTACATACAGTCTCTACACATCTGAATAGAAAAAACTCCACCAAGAAAGAAATCTTCAGTGGGCAGAAAAAGGAAGAAATTTTAGGGAGTACGGCAGAAGAAGATTGCTCTGTCATGATGGACGGAGTGTCATAAATGTCATGTGTACAGAATGAACAACTTAAAGGGATATACAATATTTCCCAATGCATATGAAAGAAATTATTCATATATTGATAGCATTAAGCCAAATGGTGATGGTAAAATTACTACTATTAATAATAGCTGCATTGGATGTAGCAGAATAACAATGATAACAAAAGTAATAATTGCGTTATAGCAATAGTAATATCCATTTCCAATGATATCAGTTCTTTGAGATGACTTTGCTTCTTCTTCATGCAGGGCTGTTATGTCTGAAGGCTAGAGCTAAAGATCTGGCACAGAGACACCTGACTCAGGCCGTGCAGCTCTTCTCTGAGCTGGACGGAGAAGGTCATGAGTCAAACTTCATCACAGTACTGCTGGAGCTGGGTCAGCACTATGTGAAGCAGCACCAGCTGGACTTTGGGAAAGGATGCTACGAATGGGCTCTACTGCTGGCTATCAATGCTAACCTGTTAGACTGTAAGTATGTAATTCACACATTGTGTGTCCTTTTTATTACTTGAGCTCCCGTCAATTAACGACACTGGATTTTCACAAATTGCCAGGCCAGCTCACTGCAACTAGACACCTGTACCATCTGTATGGGTGTGAGAATCCAGACCAGGCCCAGTGTATAATCTACAGCCAGCACCACGTCCAGCTGCTGAGACAAACAGGAGACAGAGGACAGGAGGGAGAGGCACTGGAAGCCATCAGCCAGCTCTACCTCAGTCTGGGAACAGAAAGGTGTGTATTTGTGTTTGTGTGTGTGTGGTGTGTGTGTACATGTATATATTTGTGAGGACCAACGTACATTTGAAACCCAGGGTTATGGGGCTTGAGATTGCATTATGTCACTGTTTGCTCACAAAGTGTGTGTTTAGCTGGAATAGAGCAAATCACAAATGTGGTTTGGCCCCGTCAAAGATTGATTTTGCAATAAAAACACTAGATTTGATATTTCAGATGACAGTAAACAAAAATATAAGCCTTAAAGCCACTTCCTTTTAGTAAACTTTGTTTTTTCAAAATTCAATCATTCTGAAAATGCACCTCAGCTGTTTGACATTATACGCTTAACCTGCCACACAAATCTGCAATGCCACCTGTCGTCACATTTGATATAAACATTATAATAATTAAATACAAAAGTCTCTGAATGTTCTCAGGGCATACAGGGCAGCCCTCGACGCCACCAAGACCAGTCTTGGTATTTTCATAGACCTGGGCCAGAGGGAGAAGGAGGCGTACGGCTGGCTGCAAGCGGGAAAGATCTACCACCTAGTGGACCAGACTGAACTGGTGGACCTTTACGTGCAGGTCTGAGAGTAGCTGTGTCAACAATCATAACTATTGGGACTGTCTACAAAATGCTTCTAACTCGACTGTAAACTTGTTCTGAGATGGTTCATGTCGTAACTATTTTCTTTTTTACCAAATGACACCCGTCGGCGCTATCACCTCTCAGAAAGAAGAGTGCATCTATAATCAATACTGCTATCTCACCTCGCACACCAAGCTAGCTTACGTTTACAGCTCAGCAGAGGAGGACTAATAGGATTGATGTTTCCTTCCCGAGCAAGAGTCCCTTGTCCGCTAGTCGATGAATGACGAGGACATCAGAAAACTCAGTGTTTATGTCAATGTCTTTGTCAGGTAGCTCAGGATGTTGCTCTGAGTACAGGAGACACCGGCTTCATTCTGAAGCTTCTGGAAGCGGCAGGAGACATTTTCTTCAACAGCAGCCAGGACCGGGACAAGGCTATCACCTTCTACAGGGTATGGACTGGATAAAACACTACGCAGCTATTTAAACATGTTGATTTACCATTACTGTATCATTTATCATCACTACTACTGTCAATTTCCAGCGGCATGCATACGGCATCCTTTGTTTTAATCAAGTTGGTTCTAATGTAGGATTAGACGATTTATCCATGTTTCAGAGCAGGGGGAAACTCCTCCAGTTGCAAAAATAATTCTAAAATTATGGAAGGTAAGATTATGTCACATATGGACACAAACCGATGTCATTGTGACTACATGCACATATTACATACAGTCTATGGCCTTTCTTTGCTATCACAGTATTTCTGTTATTGTTAGGAATGATGCTCAAAACTGAATATAAATAAGCAGCCTACCGTAAAATTCTGTACATCTCTGTATGTGTATCCACCATTTAGGACCGGGCTCTGCCCATCGCTGTGAAGAGCAGCAATGTTCGTTCCAGGCTGAGGTTGTGTAATAAATTGACGGAACTGATGCTCAGTCTCAAGCTTTACGGTGAAGCTATGGAGTTTGCTCAGACCTCACTGGACATCAGTAAAACTCTGGGTAACTGAAAACCTCCAACCCAAAGTTTAGAATTTTCCCTGTTCAGGATGTCAATTTAATTTAATTTTTTACCCTTTATTTAAAGCAATATCTGGTCCAATTGCTGTCATATATTAGTACTACATTGCTTTACCTACTTTGGGGGCTTTGACAAGCTGACATTTAGTCAAGTTTGATGGAACTGTGATGGGGTTCACTTTTGTGATGTTTGCTTGACATCTGGGTCAAAGACAACATAAGGAACATGTTATGCACAAAATGAGTGATGTTTATAAAGTTTTTGGTATTTGTTGATCTAAACCAATGATGCACAGGCAAATTGATAATTGAATTTACAGATACAATGAAGAGTTTGAAGTCATGTGTGACACCAGAATAATTGTATCTGCCGTTGTGTGTGGTTGTACATACAGGTGAGTGTCTGAATGAGCGAGTGGCTTGCCATCGTCTGGCCTCTCTGTACCACTGTCTGGACCAGTACGAACTGGCTGAACACTATTACCTGAAAACCTTGACCCTGTGTCCAACACCTCTGCTGTTTGATGAGGAAACACTGTACTATGTTAGGGTGTACCAGACGCTGGGGGACATCATATTCTATGACCTGAAGGTAAGGGGTTAAATTATTGATATGTCAGTCTGATCATTACTACAAGCACAATATGACATGCACAGATGTTTAAAAGTATCGTCCTCCTCTATTGTGAAAATGAATGCTTTTTTTAAAGTTCCCTTTTGAGCTTTGAAACATTGTTTTTTAAATCTTTGCCAATATGTGACATTTATTATTTTTCTTTGTTATTATTATTGGATAAGAGCTCACTTGGATGTTGTAGTAGGTAGGTAGGTGCTGGGATTGGCGGGGCAAGGTGTCATCAGCACCAGCCCAAGCACCACCTAGCTGGCTTGGTTAGCAAGGAACATCTGTAATTCACATTAGAGATAAAAACAGGGCTGTATGTAATGCAATTATCTGGAAAAATGACCAGCCAACTTTTTATAGTAGGGGAGGCCACACTTCTTGTTTGAGCTACAATGACGATAATGTGACTAAATCACACGTTTTTAAGGGGACGTACATTTTGCTTTTATCTCGATAGGATCCATTTGATGCTTCAGGCTACTACCACCTGGCTCTGGCTGCAGCCATGGATCTGGGTAACAAGAAGGCTCAGCTGCAGCTGTGCACTCGCCTCGCAACCATCTACCACAACTTCCTAATAGACAGGGAGCTCTCTCTCTTCTTTTACCAGAAGGCACGGGCCTTTGCCGCAGAGCTGAACGTGAGGAGGATAAATATCTCACCAGATCAGCTGAATAGTAGCACCTCACAGTACGAGACCACCAAATAATAGTATGGACACTGGGGAGTCAGGTCTTTGTTTTACAGGAAAACTTTAGTGGATGGATAAATGTTTGTGTTGTGGTACAGAAATGGTTTTTCATAAGACGGTCATCGGTTCAATTTCACCCAGTAGCCTTTCTGTGTGGAGTTTGAACGTTCTCTCTGGGTACTCTGGCTTCCAATAGAAGAAGAAAGAAAATATTCTTTATTAATCCCTGTGGGCAAATGATTCTCTGCATTTCGCCCATCCCAGTGGGAACAGTGTGCTGCCACAAGTGTGCTTACCTAAAGGACACTTCGACACAGGAGCAGCCAGGGTTCAAACCATCAACGCTACGGTTACCGGCGCACCTTCTCTACTCCATACGTTTAGGTTAATTGCTGATTCTAAATTGCCTGTAGATATTTTAGTGTGAATGGTTGGCCTGCAATCCAGGGTGTACCCTGTCTCTCCACTGACGTTAGCTGGGCTTGACTCCAGCCCCCTTCATCGCAACCCTCAAAGGGCCCACTTGCCATTAGATCACCTGCTATTGAAAAATAATGATATGTTTTCTGACACACGGGTCACATGCACGGTCGACCGTGAGAGCTAATGGAAGACTTGGTGGTGCAAATTAGCGATCTTTGTTTACTAGTGAACACATTTCATTTCATTTCAAAATGAGTAGGGTTGCTGGGCCAAGGTGTTGCTGCGTACGTTAGTGAGCAGAAGGTGACTTTCAGACTTACATTGGAAGAGATAATTAAGGTCTCAAGGTGCCCAGGATGTCCAATCTAATCATTTATTGCATTTGTGAAACTATGTTCGATTCAAATTTACAATTCTACTTTACTCAGGCCTCAGGAAAAGATAAACATACTAATCAAGAACACTAAAAGCTTTAACTGATTATCTGTTATTTTGTTTATTGTAATTCTTCTAAACAATGAAAAAACGGCCTAACTGACAACTCAAAAAAACAAGTACATGAAATTGTGTATGTTCTGGTACTTTTGCGGCTTACTTATTTTATAGCGTTTATCACTGAATCAGAAAGTAACAGACAGGACACAACCCTGTTCTGCACTCCTGTTGGGAATAAACCATATGACTTCCATTAAGCAAAACAAACGTAAATGCCCAATGTAACATCACTCTGTCACTAAAACTCTTCCCCAAGCAAATGTTTGCATCGTTAGTAATAACCCACAGTCAGATATCTGACAGTATCCCTCGTGTGATGGTATGTTCTTTCCATCTGAAAGTTCATCAGAGTTTCATCAGTGTGATCAAATGTTAATTATATTATATTAATTATATTTTCTTTGATCTAGATTGAATCTATTTTTATATTTGTGATAATAACTAAACTGAATTGCAAATAATGGACACAAAGCGTATAAGTATGATGTAAGATTTTTCCTCTTTTCGTGGCAGAATGAGAAGATAAGTTGATAATTTATGTGGTCTATAAGTTTATAAATCAACAGCAGCTGATTAACAGTGTGTCACTGTTTTTCTCATCAAAAGGCCATCATAAATACTATATTATTTTAAAGTATTTCAGAGCATTATTATTATTATTATATTAATGCTGTTACTACACTGCTGCATTTGAATACCAATAAATAGTATGATACCAACTTCTGTTAGTCTGTTTCTGTCTCAGCACAAAACATGAACCATTTGAACAAACTATTCTCTTCAATTAATAATGTATTATTTAATCTAGGTTATCGAGGTTGTACCAGTATTGTCACGGTGTGGTTTTATTTCCTGTCTTATTTTGTAGTTTTCTGCTGCTTGTCTCCCTGGGTAACTTCACTTCCTGCCTTGTCCTGTCATCGTCTGTGATTGTCTGATTGTTTCCACCTGTGTCCAATCACCTGCACCTCCCTAGTGTATTTAAGCTATGTGTGTCTCTTGTGTCACTTGTTGCGTCATTGGCTATCGTCCTGGATGTTCCCTGTTGTTTGTCCAGGATGTCGCTAGTTCCTGCCTGCCTTTTTGCCCCCTGTTCCTGTCTGCCTTTTTGCCCCCCGTTACTTGAATGTGTTTTTGCCCGTTGGCCTTTTGCTTTGTTTCTGCCTTTTGACTATTAAAGTCTTGTTGTTTTCTAAAAGAACTCTGCATTTGAGTCCTGCCTCCCACGCAACCCTGACAAGTATAGGAGCAGAAGCAGGTCCAGCCTCTTCAAAGAGGATGAAATATCATCATAGGATTATGTAACTTAAATGACTCTTTAATGACCATAACACCAATGCTAACTGAATACGTTGAATTGGCTGAGGAGTCCTCTGTGTTAGGCCATGGGACCATGTGAAGTCCCTTTTGTCTGCAGAGGGCAAGTTGGAAAACCGGAACCAAAATGGAATCACAGTCTGCTGTCATTGGTCACACTGTGCCGACCTTAGTCACCGCAGCACATTTCCTACTCTAGTGGAAAAAAATGTCTCCCTCGTTAAGTCAAAATGTGTAAACACACTGACATCAAATAAAATGTGTTTCAATCATGTGACTTACATCTCCCGATTTAATATACAAGAGGAAGGAAAAGGAAGGTAATTGTCCGTCCATCATCAAACCGCTTATCCTGCACACCAGCGGGGCTGGAGTCAATCCCAGCCAACTTCAGGCGATAGACGGGGTACATCCTGGACTGGTCTTCATCCAATCGCAGGGCTACACAGGGACAAACAACCATTCACACTCACATTCGCACACCTACGGGCAATTTCGAGTTACCAATCAACCTGATCCCTAGAGCATGTCTTTGGACTGTTGAAGCTGAAGTACCGGAGAGAACCCACGCAGACACGGGGAGAACATGCAGACTCCACACAGAAAGGCCACTGGGCGGAGTCGAACCCTGGACCTTCTTGCTGTGAGGCAACCACTAACCACCATGCAGCCCAGAAGCTAATTGTACATGTAAGTATTACTGGAGTTAAGTCACAATTGGGCATTCATTTGAATTTCAAGACTTAATAAATGTATCCAGGCATCAGCCTTCTTTTCTTTTGTCCAGGCGATGGTCAGGTAAACAGCAGGAACACGGCTTTCATGTGACAAAGTGGTAGCAGGACACTTGTATTTGTATCTTTGATTGATCCTTGCATTTCATTTTCTGCTATTTTATCTTTGAAATTATTCAAAAAAAATTGTTTTTACTATTTTATTACTCATCACTGGATGGTGCAAACATTTGCACAACAAAATTTGGGATTTAGGCATGTAGTGCTTAATTAATGAGTCATAATGTGTCAAAGTTGTATAAATATTACCAAGTGCTTTCTGCATCCCTCCATTAACTTTATAAATGGTGTTCCCGCTGAACAAGGAGCTCAGTGTTCTCTCAGGTGATGAACTGCTTCAAATAAACACACCCACGGCTTGGTGAGAAAAAACATTTCTCCGTGGACACTCCTCTTGTCTCTCCAAACAAACTTGGACGCTATTCTTTCGGTATGAGGCGTCCACAGCCGGCCTCCCCTCAGCAAGAATTAAAAAGAGCTTGAAGAAAGCGTGTCGGTGGGAAGGTTCGATCCTGATACCGCTGTCCATGTGACAAACAGTGAGATCAGTAGTGATCATATTCTTTCTTTTTTTTTTATAACCTGAGTACTGTTTTTGTAGTTTTGGATGTTTTTCTTGGTTGCAGCAACACAAGCTTTATTAACTTTCAGGCAGATTGCATGTGGCAATTGAAAAAACGGCTTATGCAAATTATCTAAACCATTTTAAAGTGAGACCTTCAACTCAAAATAGAAATAACACAGTATTTATTTTGGAAATATAAGCAAGAAAAAACACACCTTTGTTAAATTAGATCCACTCCGCTCCGTTTTGCTTCCACAGCTTGCCTCTTCAAATTGGTACATTGCCACAACACTTAATTCCGTCAGTAAAACAACAGTAATGTCATACTCTCCGCTCTGCTAGGAACAATTTCACATACATATTGATTTTTACCCAGGCCAACATCTTTTCCAACTTTGAAGCATAGTACCAACAATTAAGATAGACCCAATCAATATTTCTCTTCGTGGCCTTAATGAGTGACTCTTTTTATGTTCTGGCCACGCCCCTGCCTATACTTTGAATTCATTGTTTGATATTATATGTACTGTATGTTAAAAATGTGATCCTAATGTAAAGTTGTTAATGACACGAAAACTCTCCCGATGCCCATATTGAAGTGGCAATACAAATAAATGTAAATGTTCTTGAGTTGCTATTATATATTATACATATACTTATTATACATATACATATATATATATATATATATATATATATATATATATATATATATATATATGTATATACACATACTTCTAAAACGGAGGTGTAAGAGCAAATGTCTCTTAGTGCCCCACAGGATTTCTTCATATTCTGACTAAATATAGCTACAATAGTATCTTGAGACAACGGTTTGTAATATTAATGTTAAATGAACAAACATTACCTATTTTTTTTGAGAGGGTAAAACGTCTTGTAATAACATGGTGGAAAAGAAATATACGTTTAGGTTTCCTTTTCTCTCAGGAGGTGCAATCACCTCTGGCGCAAACTCTGTACGTTTGACAGCAGTGAGACGTGGGTTTATTTGTGTATGTGTGCGTGCGTGTGACTGCATGGTCTGGTCGTCTTAAATTGCCCTTACAAGGGCGCAGTGAAAGGACGTCCACAAGTCCCCGGTCTGCCACAAAGAATGACTTCATGTTTTGGAAAGAAAGGGGAGAGAAAAGTAGCAATCCCATGGAGTTACTCTGGGATTCCAAAATCTGTATAGTGTAGGAAGGCTTACAGTTCTACACCATCATTTTGATCCATGGACTGCTGAACGATGCTCCCGAACAGAAGATCCACCAAAACAATGAGAAATAAAGGAAAAAATGTATGTTGCTGCATTGACCTGCCAAGAAACAGACGAAATCTTAAATGGTAAGATTCAAAAACATGCATCTGCTGACTACGTTTCTTCATTCATGAAAAGTGTTTGAAACTTTCATTTTCTAAGGATTTTGCTGGTCCTTATGGACAATGGTGTTCTCTGATTACCAGATTCCCTTGAGGAACCTTTATCTCACATGAGGTCGGGCAGTGTTCCAGGCTCAGTCTCGGTTCTGGTTCTTCCCGCTAGCAGGTTTGCTAATATGGCCTCTGTGTACGCCAGCTTGGGTCAGTGTGGGCTCACAGCGGGGAGCGGAGGAGTTTCCGTCCATGGGATTTTGGCTGGAATCCTACAGCACTAAGAATAACCACATACCCCAAAATCTCTGTGATGGTCTCCTTTACCGATGTATGTCATAGACAGGATCCAGATAAAACTGAGACTGTTTCACAACTAGTTAAACACTCCAAACACTTAACTTTTAAAATAAAACACCTTACAACAATCAATCCAATATGAAGCTATACTAAGTAATGAAAAGTTGAAACGTTGCTTTTGTCCAGCTTAAGGATTCACATTCAAAGAAACTGTTAGCGCATTTAAGGAGACCTCAGTTTTTCTAGACTTTTAAATGTTCTCACTTGATTCGCCAGACATGTATGACGGCCTGATGTTACTTCTCAGTCTGATTCTGAGGTCATCCCGGCCGGCAACAGCAGCATTTACCAACATCTGCGTCGGAGCTCCGTCCCCACGCCTACAGGAACGCAGCTCCCTCCCACATCTCCTCCCTCATGCTGCCGTCTAATGGATGTGCGTCTGACGGGTAGAACGCACGTCTCACTGCTCTGGATGCTCGCTATCTCCAGCTGCGTTGTCCCTGGGCGCACAATTACGCACGGCTTAAACAATTCCAATAACAAGCTCACCCTCCGATATTCAATATCAGGATCCGTTCATTCTGATGTATTTTTTGCATAATTAAGCGGAAACTTGTCATATCCGTGTGTGCGGATATCTTTCTGCGAGGTCTCCAGAAAGTGATGAGTGCGGAGCTGGCGTAAACTTCTCTTCGGCTTCCTTCGTCTCCATTCAGTCTTCCATTAAAGATGCACATCCTCTTGTACGCAGCTGTGTTCCTGTACCTTAAGGAGTCCGCCTTCGCAAAGCCCAAAGACAAGTGTCCGACACGGTGCGATGTGAGTACCTGTCCGAGCCCCGGCTGCCCCAGCGGCTACGTGCCGGATCGCTGCAACTGCTGCTTGGTGTGCGCCCAGGCGGAGGGAGAGCCGTGCGGCCGAAAGGACGACCTGCCTTGCGGCGACGCGCTGGAGTGCAAACACCCGGCGGGCAAGCGGCTGTCCAAGGGCTTCTGTCGGTGTCGATTCCGCCAGGACGTGTGCGGAAGCAACGGGAAGACGTACGGCAACGTGTGCCAACTAAAGGCCACCAGCAGAAAGGCGCTGCAGCAAGGACTGCCTGCATTCAACCTGGCCCACAAGGGACCGTGTGACAACAGCACAGGTACGATTTACGCATTAGTGGCTTCATTTGGTAAACTGGACAGGACCGGACTATGTATGTAAGAGAAGCCCTTTCTAAAATGAACTTACGTACTATGCTGTATTGTCTCAAGAAATAAATTCTATTCATAAACCTAAATTATAAAAGTTGACAACACTTTAAAGTAATAAAGAAATATATATTGCAGAAAAGCAGTTCATCCACAGTGTTTCCACTGCTGGTGTCTAAACCAAAATGTTTCCTCACATAACTGTTTTGATGTTGCTATTTAAGTACAGTAAAACAGTTGCTTTGTCAATAAGCCATGGCTCCCACTTAAAGCTTTGAACACAACACAGGATACCGCTGTTTTTGAGGAGAACATTGACATGTGTAAAATGACATCTTCATTAAGTTTTGAAGTTACCAAACTTTTCTATCTAATTTTCTACGCTAATTCCGTCCCAAAGCTATGCTACTTCTTTAGCTAATTCAACCCAAGCCATGGTCTTTTCCCGAAACCTGACCAAGTCGTTTTTTCAACTTAACCATGAATTTCTTTCCAACATGCGTCCCATTGTGTGACAATAGGTTGCCTTAACACCAGAAAGCCCTGAATACCCAACGTGATCTCCAAAACCTGTTTGTAAAAATGTATACGAAAATCTTGAACATACAAATTCGTAACAATACATACGAACTGGCGGTGGTTAACCACGCCCCTTGAGTGAACAACATGGCGGACCATGTCGGATTCTTGAGTGAACGTCTCTCTGCCATGTTGGATTTTTTGAGGGGGTTAGGGTTAGTATTGTATTCTTACAATTTAACATTGATTTCTCATTAAAAATGCAATCACAACACGTTTATTTTACATCGTTAGACTTCACGAAGTGTGTTTACGGGGTGCAGGTCCCCATTCACTTTGAATAGGGTGACGTCATCAGTTGCGGTCCGTATTTATTTAGTATGTATCAATACGAATTTGTATGTTCAAGATTTTCGTATACATTTTTACGAACAGGTTTTGGAGATCAGGCTCGAATACCTGACAAATCTTTTATGCGAAACTAATTATTTCATCTCTCCTTTAAGTGAATAAATATGTGCCAATCTTGCCACTTACGTATGTCTTTGTTGGCGGTCGGTTAGCGTTGGCGCCCCTCTCCACCAGGAGAAATAAACCGTAACACTAGTTTTTAATTAAGGCCAGAAGTGAACCTCAGTCTGATGTTAGTAGAAATGTATTTCCTGCAACCATGTTGACTCACCGTGAGTCTGTGCGGTCCGGTCTGTAACCCCCACCTTAACAAACCCCCCTATGGCTTTTCTCAACTGTCCACATTAGTAAGATCCAGATTAAAACGTTTTTTTTGTCTCCAGAGTAATGATTCACAGGAGCAATAAACACCTTTTTTTAGGGCAGGTGCAGGTATAACTGCTTGTTAAAGCGGACCAGAACCAGTAATTGGAGCACGCAGCGGGAACTAACCACACCTCTTGTGGAAAGATGTTGTTTTGTCCTGCAGACTGAACTAGATCATCCCTCAACCTAAACAAAAAGTTCACATGCAGGCCTTTCTCTGTAAACAACGTCCCTCTCGTATTCTACATTTTACAAAAATACAGTCAGTTCAGAGTAAAATATCTTGGCAGCTATTGGATGAATTGCCATGAAAAGAACCTTTTTACATGCACAGGGTGTCCCATGTCACCAGAGGATGAACCTTAAATATTTTGATCTCGCAGGATTAGTTAGCACTGAGAAAGTGCAGATTTATACATACCATTTTGTGTCTCAACCGCCCAGTTAAGAAGAGTGAGGACTCCAATAACAGTCAATGACAAAATCTAAAAGCAGAAAGAAATCAATCTAATCTGTTAAAAAAAAATGCGAATAACTGGCATGAAAGGAGTACAAAAAATATCAAGCTGATAGGTTAAGCAGTACAGGAGATAAGCTGGACAGACACAAAAACACACACACATGATCTCCTCGCTGGCTAAGACCTAGCAGAGATAATAAACATGGGGCGCATGATGTCTGAAACACACACACACACATCGCCAGTATCTGGTGGACGGATTCCAGCATCTGCTGTTTTACGGTTTTTCTCCTGTATACACTCCTGCACATGTTTCTTATTTCCGTCACACTAATATATAAATGCTTCTGCCCGCAGCTATTACAATACTGTCTTCATTCAAAACCAAAAGGAGAAAAGTTCTTCTTCACTAAATGTTGTTTTACTCTGTTTGTACACATTCACTCCATCTCTCTCTCTCAAAAGCTTCCCTTGAAAAAGTAGAGCCTCGCGGCTGCTTGGAGGAAGCGTTTCAGCTGGCCTGCAGCCAAACACATTCACGAAACTGTTCCAGACAAAGGGAGACCCGTCTAGCCATAGAGGGCCTCTCCGCATGCAGTTAAAGTCTTCGTACAGAGGCTTCTCTGCCTTTTGAAGCTAAAAGACACAACTTTTCCTTGTTGTTCCAGCTTGTTTTTTCTTAATTTGGATAATATTTGAATAACATTTAAAACGATTCGATTAGTATATGTTTGACCATTTTTCAGACAATCTGTCTTGTGCTCAAAACGTAACTATGTGTCATAATTAATTGTTACATACTGATGCGAAAGGAACAATCGAGGGGGTCAGAGAAAATACCTATCCACAGTACAGTTTACGGACAGACAGGCCTGTTTGGTGCTAATGAAAGAAACCCATTCCTGCAGACTATTACAATCATCACCAGAATCCCCTACTCACAGGGTTACAATCATCAAAAACACACACAGATACCCATAGAAGATATCAACTGAGGAAACAGGAAGTCCCTGCAGCACAGAATGGTGGCAGACTTTATTTACACTTATCTTTTATTTGTCTAGGTCTTAAAGGGTATGTGGAGGGCACACACACACACACACACACTCACACACACAAACTATGTCACTGGAGCGTTGCATGTCTAAGGGCGGGGTTTACCCAAAATATACGGGTGATTGACCTGCAAGTCCCAACTCCCAAATCGCTTGTGGTAAATACCATCATTTTTCCTTCACCAAGAGTTCACCAAGTTTCTTTTCCGTGGAGCAGCTTTAACACCTTGATTAGTCAACCTAATTATGTATTGTACATTTTCTTTTGTAGGTCCTTCCAAATGACTAATTGACAGTATTCAACCGCCGATCTGGTCATTTATTTGTGCTTTCTCTCTGTCTTATGGGAGTTACCATTTTACTACCTTTTAAATAGAAATAAATACTCTTTTGGACGGTATGCTCTCCTGCTATGGGGATATACAGCCATTTAGAAATTGAAGCTGCACTATCAAATAATTGCGTGCGAGGTGACGGCTTGTAGCTAAAAAATCACAGACTCTGCAGTTCAGCTTTGTGGAAGACCAGTTTCCCACTGGCTACAGCATTTGGTTTAGATTCTGTCATTTGATAATCTTTCTGCCTAAAATCACAAACCACAGCTGTAGGGGCAACGTGTAACTCAACATTACTGGTGGAGACGTAAAGGAGGTCATGAACGTGGCAACGCAGACTTGGTTTTCCATGATTGCTGCCAGGTATGTGCCATCAGGTGGGTTCGTTAATGATTGGGTAGTGGAACACAGGGGGCTGCTTTGCGATGTCTTGACCATTATGATAGTCTGTTGGATGCAACATTCAGTGTTGACTCTTTATTAAAATACATAATTCTTCTTGCCAGTATAGGTCCTTCTCATGCTGACAGTCCTCGTTACAAGTTCAACTTCATAGCTGACGTAGTGGAGAAAATCGCCCCTGCTGTGGTCCACATCGAACTCTTCCTCAGGTACTGGCTGTGTTTCTGTGGGTTTGTAAAGGTTATGTTAGCATTTTAGTTTGGAACATATGACTCAATTATAATTCTAATTAATTATGTGACAAACTCCCATTACTACCGTGGGGTTCCCTCAGCAAAAGGAGGCCAGCTTCTACTTACAGGCTGGATTTGGGCTGGATTTCTGCACTGTCTGCAGAATTCCTTTCAGCAGAGGCTGATTAATCCTCCTCCCGTCACCATTCCCTAAACCACCGCCATCCCAGCCAAATGCCATTGAGTGATCCGAGGGTTGGTACCTTTCATTCGGTAGAGCCACTGAAGCAAGGGATGGTCCAAACAGAGGGTGAATGAGCGTCTCAGAAGGGAGCGCAGGGAGTCGACCGGCCAGCTACTCCTTCTCCACTGAGCTGTACCTGGCCTCCCTCTCGGATAGCTTCCAGCTGATACACAGCACATGGTGGTCCACTCCCCGTAACTGCTGGGACAAGACGGGCCCAGGACTCTGTTCAATGGGTCAGTTTGCAGCGTAAAGGGGAGAGAGAACATAGCGGTGCAAAGGAGTGGTTCCCCGCAGAGAGTTTGTTCTCCTTCTCAAACACAAACTGTCACTGCTCCGTTGACTGGACCGGATCCGAGGAACCGTTCTAGGTCAGTTCAGTCAAGGGGCTGGCCTGCTCTGCAAAGTCTGGAATGCACCGCCTGTAACAACTGTAACAAAACGCCTCAGCTCATTTTTAGTCTTGGACGCGGCTAGTGATGTGACTTGCATGGTGACTTATTTTTCCGCTTGCGGATCTGTTGCAACAAATTAGCAGTATTGGTACAAACCAAAACGGAGTGGAGAAACACAACAAACTGTTCTTGCATCAGGGCGATGTCTGTTCTCTGTGTCCCTAAGAGATAGGCTTCAGTCAACCGACCCGGCATGTGGAGTTTTGCTCGCAGCAGCACCTTCTCCACTCCCTCCTGAGCTCCTCCTGAGCTCCTCCCGAGCTCCCGGACGGTAGCCACCTGGTCAGTGCGTAGGTGAAGGTCGGGTCCTTGAGACCCAGCCTGGCCTCACAGAATCTCCACCAGTGAGACAGGCCCAGCAAATCTGTGGCTCAACGCTTGTGTTCTACTGTCCCATGCCGGATTTTGCCATACGGCCTCGGCCATGCCCCTGAGGGAGGCCACCATGTGTGCTTTGCCTGTTCAGACTCTTGTGTCCAGCACACCACCAAACATTATAATAATAGTACAACTTTGCTTTAAGTTTTCATAGGTAGGTAAATTCATTTAATGATTGTTTTTATTCACACCTCAGACATCCACTCTTCGGTCGGAACATTCCTCTGTCCAGTGGATCGGGGTTTCTGCTGTCAGATAACGGACTGATTGTGACCAACGCCCACGTAGTGTCCAGCACCACACCAGTGTCCGGTCAACAGCATCTCAAGGTAATGAAATGCTGTTTTGATCATTTATGTATCACTTTAAAGGTGTGCATATTTTACTTAATGAATCCTTACTAAATTTACTCAAATTGTATTTAAATTGGTTGGCAATGGTATTCTTTTGATCAAAGGAGATTGTGAGGATGTGAAAACTGAACTTGAGTCAGGACATGGTCAGTCTAACCTGACTCCATCTAAAGAAAAGAAATACACCTACATTACCTACACCTACGACATGTTTTTTAGACCCTCAGTACTCACAATGTCGTCCACACAGGCTTTTTAGCATCGTTTTCGAGATCTGCGGCCCATGCTCTGTGTAAATGTAGCAAAACATATGCGTTTTAAGACTGAAATGTGGTAGTGTGGATGTGTGGCCTGTATTTTCCTGCTTCTTCAACTTCCTTATGCTATGCTAGGGTAACCATGTCCTGACCCAAGTTTCGTAGTTAAAACACAGGGGTTAATATGGATCATGATCAGAATCAGCACAACTTAGTTGTTTATTTAGAAGGTGTGTGGGGCACTGCAGAAGATTGAGTATTGGATATACTATACCTCACACAAAGATAATGTTTTAACCTAATCGTATTTTATGAATTAGATGGAATTTGAGATGTTATGTTTCTTCCAATCTTTCTTGTAGGTTCAGATGCATGATGGTCATGTATATGAAGCGAACATCAAAGACATTGACAAAAAGTCGGACATTGCTACTATCAAAATCAATTCACAGGTGAGTACTTAATGCGATGTTCTAAAAAGCAGTAATTGTTTTTTCGCCACTTCAAGTCTGAAGAAATTGAATCGTAAAAGAAATTTAAACTCTGGGCTGGATTTGAATTGTCAAACTTGCTGTGGAAGGGGTCTAACTGAGTGAAATGACCCGGAAGTAGTGTAAGCGGCCACTTACACTACTTCCGGGTCATGGCCGCCATGATAAGAGCCATTCGAATTCTCTAATTCTAAGGAACGGAGCTGCAATGCTTCCCTACTTAGCTCCTTCAGCATAGGAACCACTGGACCATCCTTTATGAAAGGAAAGGAGATCATTCCAAGCGCCTCAGTGTTTGGAGTGTTTAAGACGTAGGTCATAATAATATAATAGGGGAAAAGGTTGAATGTGAGCGTGAAAACGGTGAGCTGTGGGGTTTCTATTGGGCTGAATTATTTAGCCAATGGAGTAATCGCAACATCTTCAAACGCATAGAAAGCTAACACGACAGAGCCTTCACTGAAGGCCCCCCCCCTAAGAACAGGCCGTGTCTGGCGCAGGCTGTGATACGATGTCTGGATGTTGTCCTGCAGCAGTGACTTGACGCAATTGTGAGAAATAGCCAAGGATGGTAAGTCGAATGCAGACAATCAACCTGCACGCGTGTCACCCACTCATTGCTTCCCACGTCAGGGGGGAATGAAGTAGATGCGTTGCATTGGTAAACCTTATTCTGGAACAGTTATGTTTTGCCTACTTTTCCCTACTTTTCCATTAATTGTTTTTTGGTAAATGTTCCATATTGACAAATGTTTTGGAAAATAAACCAACCCTTTTGCAGTAAAAACCTGTTTCCTTGGTCCACGACAAGAGGGCAGAATTAGTATGAACTGTATTGTAAAAATGAACAGAGCAGAACATATGATGGGGTGTGGATATAAGTGGTTTTGCATGCTGGGTTGATGTGTGTGTGTGTGTGTGTGTGTGTGTGTGTGTGTGTGTGTGTGTGTGTGTGTGTGTGTGTGTGTGTGTGTGTGTGTGTGTGTGTGTGTGTGTGTGTGTGTGTGTGTGTGTAAGGGTGTTGAAGGTGCATAACAATAAGTTGTGTCACCAGGCGGTGACTTCCCAAATGAGTCAGAAATTTGTCTGCTTTGTCCTCGGGCCGGACACCTAAAACAAAGTCAGACTGACGGAAGAGATCACATGAGTAAAGAAGATGGAAAACATAAGTGTGAATACAGATCACGAGGAGTAGTTTAAATGCCCGTCAGGTCAGTGATTGCAAACTACAGTTGTTAGTTGTTGCAGGGTCGGCAACAGGGAATCAGTCCAAAGGGAAGTGCTGGAAGGCTTAAACGTGGAGAACGATCTGGCAGCGAGTGAGTGACTGTGGTTTAAACACTGAAGGGAGTGAGTAGGGCAGACGGGTGGGTGTGAGTAGCAGGTGTACAGAATGAACTGATTGGGTGGAGTGAGAGGTGGAAATGGCAGGGAAGGACTGACAGCGCTGTGACACAATTCGCATGAATCTCATCATTCGCGGCAGACTTGCCGGAGAGTGGGGCGTGGCTTATCACCCAGTTTAACACCCCGCCATTGTTTTTCCTCAGCATCCACCGTAGAAGCAGGGCATGACAATAAAACCTGCCCACCCGCCAGATGCGGTTAGAATTCGGCTGTGAAGTTCCTCTCACTAGCTACTTTGGCCGGTGGGATTCTATATATCTCTGTTTTTTCTAAAATAATAAACACACTGCAGGGTTCTCTTGTCCTGACAACGTTGTATAGTGCGCATATCGTTTTCCCCTCTCGGCCACCGTACGTTTGTTACTAAGCCACATAGACGCGCACACACGTGACAGGTGGAGGCTTTTGATAAAACCTGAGACCTGTTCCTTCAAGGCAAGGATGTGGGGGCACATTGCAGGTGTAGGAAAACCTGAAGAAAGAGAAAAACTGGTGATGAAACCAAAAAAGGAAGAGGAGACAAATAAAAGAAAAGACTGTTTAACAAAAAGTGGAGGTCCAGTCGAGTGGCTAGTTTATGATGCACTGATTGTAGGATGTACGGGAGTGAAAAGGTTACAGGGGTTTCTTTTGTAGTTGGGTAGTAGAAACAACACTAGTTTAGCCTAGTTTGGTTATCTTTGAAAACTGTAATGAATGTATATATCACTGAACCATCACTGGTCAACTTTTCGCCATACAAGATGTGTTTGTAGAGTTGAGGACACCCTTGGGTGGGTTATTCAGTGCAAAAATATGTGCTTTGAAAACCAATAGCAGTTGAACCTCAGTTGACATCTCTGCGCTAGAACTGAGAGCTGGAGAGGGATCAAGACAGGGAGGAGTGAGAGAAAAAGAAACCCGATCCGAAAGTGCTCCACCTTAGTGAAGCCCCTTTTGGCCGTTCTCCTCTCCGTTAGTCACACCATCTGCCTTCGGCATGTGTTTCTGTTCAACTCTTTTCCTCCCTTTCCCTTTGCCTCGTCTACTCTTCCTTTTTGTCATACCCCTCCTTTTTCCCTTGTGTATCCTTTTAACTTGCTGTTTTTTGTATAAATTACTCAGAATATTGCTGCATAGTAACACTAAAGGTTATGTTATAGATAAACCTTTATTGACTGCATGGTTGACAGCCGTTATCATCAGTGGGAAATGTGTAAATGTACAGCCTTCGGGCACATGGTCATTTTGGGTGTATGGTCGATTATCAGCATTGGAGCAGCAGTCACACAACTGTGAAAAAGGTTTGACAGGGTGGATGCAGCGCAGATAAACATGGAGTTCAACTTCTCAGAACTGGGGCCATATTTTTGTTCTTTTCCTCTATAAGCATGCACATTTTATAACCCGGCAGTATGGTTGAAGAGATGCACTCCTTTAGAAACACATGAAGCTGTAAGTTTGAATTCCAAATAAGAAACTGAAGGTTGCATTAACCTACAGAAACGTTGACCATGACATTTTACATTTAGGATTTATAGATTGTATAACAGAAACATGTTCATATTATCTTAGGATAGTAATTTGCTAATACAGCAATATAACTAACAATATAACGAAGGAAAAGACACATATTTATTCTGTAATAGGAACATATTATTTAGTTATTTTATTTGAACTTATTATATTTATTTGGACACTGATTCAGAAAGTGTTTGTGTGGGTTCAAATAAACTAGAGAATAGGAATGAACTTCAGTTGCATGGATTGGACGACTTCTTGTAAAGGATTACCCAAATATTTTATATCTTGCAACAGCGTTATCTTACCTTTTGTGCCTCTTTCCAGATGAAACTGCCGGTATTGTTCCTGGGACACAGCGCAGACTTGAGGCCCGGGGAGTTCGTTGTTGCCATCGGAAGCCCCTTCGCCCTCCAGAACACCGTCACCACCGGCATCGTCAGCACCGCACAGAGAGATGGCAAGGAGCTGGGCCTCAAGGACTCAGACATGGACTACATCCCAGACAGATGCTATAATCAACGTGAGAATGCAACAATGCAGAAAACTGTGCTTCACTCAATTGATTGTTTAGCCGTCCAGTAGGTTGTAAAAATGTCACATTGTAAGTCACAAGGTGTTTATTTTGTGTTTTCTTTCACAGTATGGGAATTCAGGAGGACCTCTTGTCAATTTGGTGAGCATTTGCATTCCCACCTCAAAAGTTGTTTGTTGAAAAATAGTATTATCAAACTTCAAAATACTTCAAAACTGCTATTGGCTATATGCTGGTGGCTTTGCACTGACAGATTATCCTTGACAACGAGAATCTTTCCCAGGGTTGTACTACCTATAATTTGCCTTGAGTAAAGAATAACCCTAACATTCAGAAAATGTAAATGAACATGTCCTGTTATGTCTCTGTGCTGGAGGATGGAGAGGTGATTGGCATCAACACCCTGAAGGTTGCAGCAGGAATCTCATTTGCCATACCGGCTGACAGGATCACTCTCTTCCTCAATGATTCTCTGGACAAGCACAACAAAGGTGTGTCTGACAGTGATGTCATTGGGCCAGGATTAAACATCTTCAAGTATCCCCCTGAATATGCTGAAAACTAACTGGAGTCTCTTTCAGATGTAAGGTCAATAAAGAAACGTTTCATTGGAATCAGTATGCTGACCATCACACCGGCGTAAGTCTAAATTAATGATAATTGTTGTGGTGATGGGAGATGGGTGGTGAGTAAATAGAGAAAAGTGATGACAATAGAGTGATAGCATGCTATGTTGTTAACTAAATAACCAATTTTTTGGCAAAATACTCATCTGCTGTCCTTTTTCAAAGCAAGTTACGTATTAAAATCACAAATTTGCAGCTCAAAGGAGGCTACATCCAAATTCAAAGCTTTTGAATGTAGCAACGGTGTTCCTCAGGGATGTATTTCGGGGTCCTCTTTTCTTTTCTTTTTTCTTTTCTTGTCAAGTCATATCTTGGCTTAATGGTAGTTTGTTTCAGCAATTGTGTTGGTCTTTGCCTCATCGTAGGATCCACACACATTTCTGGTTCTGGATATTGTAAACTTGGTAAAAGCTTAATTTATGACGCTGCCTCGATCTGAAATTGTCTTTGTTTAGAAATTCAATTTACCACTTGCTTTGAGAGACGAATTCATTTTTTTGTTGATTTCAGGTTAATTGAAAAGCTTAAACAACAGAACCTGGACTTCCCTGATGTTACCAGTGGGATTTATGTTCATGGAGTTATTCCTCACTCACCTGCACAAAAGTAGGTTTTTATTATTCAGTCATTACAATTTTATGAATTAAAATGTCTGCTTTATGTTTAACAGGCTCTATTCATTCCTTTTTTTTGTCTCCAGAGGCGGTATCAAAGAGGGTGACATTATTGTGAAACTGAATGGTAAATCTCTCATGGCCACAGCTGACTTGCAGGAAGCGCTGCAGGAAGAGACAGCCCTACTGCTAGAGGTCAGGAGGGACAACGACGATCTGCTATTCAACATTGAACCAGACGTAATCATGCAGTAAACAACGAAAGCGCCTCAGTAATGTGGCGTTATATCATCATGTAAGGCCTTATTTTTGTGAGAGGACACAGCGGATGGTGGAAACGCTGCATCGGTGCAGTGGAACTTTTGTCAAATGCGCACGTATTCTGGTACTTTGTCACCCGGCTATTAACTGTATCATAGGAAAAGAAGCCTGTGGGTGACATGGTACAATGCATGGATGTTTCACCATCCAGGATGGAAAGCTGTGCCTTCCATCTGCTTAGACCGGGTCAATATTGGAACAGGGCCATACATGTACACCCTAAAGAATTTCATAAACACAAACCGTGATAAAAATTGTTTTCTTACAAAATCACAAATTCGCCCTAAATTGTTTATCCGTAATAATCTGTTTTTGTTTTTTTCGGTAACCGCCAACAAGCTAAAAACTGAAATGAACACGAAATGAACACGTGCGCACTGATATGGAACGGTCAATGTAAACAGATGTACAGTACTTTATGGCTCCATAGAGTACACCCAATCAAAATGCTTGATTTCATCTACCCGTATTATCATTTGTATTATATGTACTCTGTCATTTGTGTGATCACAATAATCCTTCCAGGGTGTTGCGGGAGGGTTTGCTTTACATTGGAACCGGATTTATTTTATATATTAAAATACTTTTTAAAAAAGATAATGAATTTAGGAGCTTTCATTACAAAAATGCTGAACTTTTGGGACACTGGGTTAATTTACTTTTTGAGAGATCCTTGCTCGATTTGTTTGGAACGATAATTTAAACAAACCATTTTTTCTGTGTTTTGCCAAATCCCCCAAAAAGAACTCGATCTCTAGTGTCTTGTTTTTGGTGAATATTATTAGAAGTTGAATTTGATTTGCAGGACTTGACTTTTGCTGGGTGTGGTTTAAGATTTTAGATCATATATCATATACAGCGTGAGAGTTTAAATTGTCGCTGTGATTATTGCTTGATTATTTTATTGTGTGGAGTTATTTGGGTTCAAAACTATTTTTTGTATAAATAGAACCATAAAACCAAATGTTTACATGTAAGTTGCCCTTGGGCTGGTGCTTTATCCACCAAATAAAGTTTTTACAAAGTAACGGTCTAAAATGTTTTATTTCTTCTGGAATCTGGAATCGGGATGCGCCAGAGTTTCTCATTATTTAGCACATTTTTTCTCCTAATCTAGGTCGCAGGCAAAGACTCAAGATGTTTTTTCTGTACAGAAGTACAATACTTGACTATGTGGAAACAAGGCTGAGCTCTCCTCGCGGTCTCAAACATTCCTAAGTGGAAACAAGTCATGCTGGAATGTAGGGGGGAAAGGAACATGAAGGAAACTCTGTTCGGGGTTCAGTGATAAAGTCACAGCAGACAGACGCTGATCGTTTTGTCAGACATAATCAATTTTGCCTTCCCAGCTCTTTTTTCCACTCAGTGTGATGTCTCGCACAGCGACGTGGCCAACATTTTGTGTTTTCATTGTGGTTATTAAAAAAATAAAAAGACAAGACCTCTAAAACTGAGGACCATAGTTATAAAACAGAAGCTCATGTTCTAATGACTTACCGTTCATGGAACTTTCTCAACCTTATGATTATGCATTTACATTGCTGACAATGTATTTTTTTTAATATAGCCTGAACTCAATATGTCAGAAATACCGCAGCTAAATACATTCAGCATTCTGGTCGAGAGAGTTATTCACAAATGTTGGGACCCGGAGGAAGCATGTTCAGTTATCAACAAGTATGAAAAAGATTAATAAAACAATTTACTCAATAATTTAATTTAATAATATTCAATACAATTCTTAACAAATAATAACAATGACTGTGCACATGGGATCAGGAACCAATAGCCAAACTATAAAGTCAACAGTCAAAGTACTATAACACATTAAAAGGGAAGAGTGAATTTAAGCATCTCTAATTCAATCTACTAATATTACACTTTGGCCAAATTAAAGTTAGTGTAAAAGCTATCTCTGATAATCCCGTCCCTAGAGGTTTGGTGGGTAGATCTTACTTCGAGCATTGCATTATTTAGTGTAGTATAGTATGCTGCTCGCACTCAAACATCATAATGAACCTCATACTAAGATTAGGAGGCCAGATGGAAACAGAAGGCCGTTTGGAGGGTTGGTAGTTGACACATTGAGATATTTCATATCCTTTGGAGGAATAAAGACCAAAAGAATAAGTTCATGGAACAAGTGACTAAACTAAGTATAGATTGTGAGTGGCTTGCTCTTAGAGACTGGTTGAGGGGCAAAGCCATGCTCGATCACATTGATGGGAACCGGTTCAGGTGGCTTTTGATCAGATGTCTCAGAGGAATGAAGGTATCCAAGGCGTTTAACTTCTTTATGGCCACGGAATCTTTGTGATACCTTAGAAACGGCTGGAGGATGCTGCAGGGGAGAATGGAGGACCATGAGAATGGTGATTAGAAGCAGGTGAAATGGTTTTCCTTTGCAGGTATCTGAGCTTGCCTCTAAGAGAAGGGCGAGGGGCTCGGACATCCTGAAAGGAGTTGATCTGATGCTTCTTTGTACTGCTGGGAATTCGCAGAGGTGGTCTGAGAATCTGATCAACATGCAACTTTGGAGGTAATCTGGGGGCAGCTAAGAGACCCAGAACATGCTACGATTATGCCCCATCTGGCCCAAAGACATATCCGGATGTCGCAGAAGGAGATTGGGTAAATACTTGTGGAGAGGGACATCTGGGCTACCTTGGAAATCTAGAAGTCTATTTCTGCTCTCCCTTGTTTCCATGAGCCAATATTCCCTAGTTAGAGACCACATTAATCATCTAGATCTAAAACAGATTTTCAAACATTGACGATAACCTCAATGTGGGGAAAGCCAACATGGTTGTGCTTACTCGTCCTGTGGTGGGTTCAAACGGGTATTATGTGGGGATGCAGTAGCTATAAATGTGGTGGCACATAGGACCATGATAACAGGCCTTCACGTAGGCTGTGAGCCTAGCAATCTGCCTATGTTTTAAAAACAGCCGGGCACCAACGAGTAAAATGAACTTCTAAATCAGTCTTTCTCGTCTACTTTGAAAGAAAGTTACTCACATATGGGAGAGAGTGAAAACATGTATAAGATTAGGAGAAGGTGGAATCTGTGCATATCTTGAAACCAGCTAAGCACACTGACTGTGGGGTGTTGATACAGCCAGATTGTATCGCTAGTTGATGATGCATCTCGTGTTTTGTTTCATTGATTGCGTCGGAGGAAGTGTGAAATAAACTTTGGAATGCAGCAAGTGACTCCTGATAAGTTTATTTTGGAAAGCTGTGCAAATCCATCCAAAGTGCAGAAAACAACAATATATCCAATATATTTAAAGGAAACCTGTTTTTTTTTACTCCCAAACAAAGGAAGACCGTCTTTTATTGTCCACAGTTAGTAAAGTGTCCTTTGCAGAGCTCATTCTGCTGCTAAGCAGAAATCGGACCACAAAACCTTTTTTCCTAAAATCTTGAAAGTGGAATCAGCCAAAGTTTTCAGATGTAATAGCTCGTTTATGTGGTTTGGTTAGCTTCCATTTGTCCAAACAACAGGGTGAGAATTTGTGACATACTCGGGACAGTTTCTAGGGTTGCCATTCTTGGGGTATAAAGCATAGATGTCAATGAGTCATGGTAAATTCAGCATAAACGTTCCAAAAGAGGATGTTAGATGTGTTCTTCCTTGGCCCCCCGTGCTTCACCCTTCCACCAACTTTAATAAAAATTGGGCCAGTAAATGAAAAAACTAACTAAAAACCATGTTAATAGCAATCCAGTACCACAATGAACGTGCTTTTAGTATACCTAGTATACCTTTTCTTTTACACTCCACGTTTTGGGGTTTTTGATCCATAACCCAGCTCTGAAAGAAGGGACTGCACTAGTGAAGCAAAAGGGTGTCTGTGTAGGAGGGAAATATTTGCTCAAGACGGGCCATTAAATATTTTGATATGAATATGCCCCCTTCCTTAACCCTCCTCATTCTTTCCCTTTTCACCCAAATCCCCCACACACACTTTCCATGCAACAACCTAACTTTAGCCAGCTGTCACGCATGAGATTTAGTTATTTGGTTTTTGGGGCAGACCTCTAAATGATCATCTTGCCTCGACAAATCAACCTCAGTAAGATAGATAGAATTAGTAATTTAGTTAGTTAAATCCTGGAGTTCTTTTGTTTCCTTATTCTTCTCAGTATATTTATAAATGAACAAGGAAAAAGTAAACCATGATAATGTGCTGTCAATCACCCTGAAAGAGCTACACAACCCGAAGGTCACAGTATTTGGTACAAAACGACCAATAACAGGATTAAATATATGAATGCTTCACACCGCAAAAATAGCCACCAAACATCCAGCATATGAATCGTAAATGCCCCTTACCTTGAAAAAGTGGTTGAAAGGGGCAGATCTGCAGAACACATGCAGTGTTTGTGGAGAGTAAAATCACAATTTTGACTGCTCTCGTTTCTGGGCCTCGAGGCATTTACGAGAACTCTTCCTAGACTAGTAATCCTCGCTCTATCAATGTAAAACCTGGGATGACACTTGGATGGGTTTCTAGCCTGATATCTCCATTTTTTTAGGACTTATAGGGCTGTTGGTGATTTTATTTCAGGCAAATCTCAACATTAACATTATTTTGTGTTATATTGATTTATTTCTTCACCAGTGACATATAAACTGCTTTTAACACATCAAAACACCCCCAATGGTTCTCATTTATCCCAACAGAAACAAAATGTCCACATAGAGAAAGTAGTATTACACATTTTTATCATGAATATGCCATTTTCGGAGCAGACGCCAAAAATCAGTCTCAGGGTGCAACAGGTTTACAAGATTTCATTTCATGTACATTTTACAACATCCATGTTGTTGTTGTTCCTATTCCCTGTTTATTTTCAAAATATCATAACATTATGGATCCTACAATGCATGGTCCTTTTTAAAAGGACATATAGGGTACACATCTAGTAGTCATGTTATTAAAACATGCAATCGGCACGGTGAAGAATGAACACAATTTTAATAGTTCATCAAAAAACATTTTCAGAAGGTAATATCCTTCTTGCTGCATTAAGGATTGAAACATGGTAAAGCAGTTATTCCCATGTATAATTTACATAATCAAGATTTCTAACACACTAATGATCCCTAAAATGTGGTTTCAGCTGCTCTTTATTACCTTACAAAAGGTTGTTGGTTTGCTGACATACAGTTTAGCCAATATTATGCATAGAGACCATTTGTACTCCTTTGAGAACAACTTATTGGCTGAATGGATAGGACAAAAAGGCCAATGCATATGAAGCAAGGAAACTAGAGGGTGCCCGTTGGTCCCGTCCTCCTGCATTTATGGTCAAACTGATACATGAAAATCAACAGCATCCTAAAACTCGATTGAATTGTTGAGTCTGTCCTTTTTCATTCTTTCCTCAAACTGTGGCTTAAATGTCATATTGTATTGTTAAAGTTTGGTTCAATATGATTTGAAGTTAAATAATTTCATCTGGTTATAAAAATGGATCCATGTTGATTTAATTGGACCCCAATAATAATCATCACAGAGAGCAGTGTAGTACTTTCTGGCAATAGTTTGTGATCATATAGTCATTTAACGTGCAGAATTTCTTTAAGGGCCACAAAAACACATGTTCCTCTTCCAACTCCCTAGTGTCCAGGAGTCCAGAGCGGGTTGCGGGTTCTAGAGTTTTGGACGGAGGGATCCGACCACTGGCTTGTCGGAAATGAACTCTTTCCACCAGGAGGGCCGTTCCAGCACCTGGTTGCCCTGCATCACGGTCGCCCACAGGTTCTTGTAGAGCTACGTGTGAGAGGAACAAGGGGTTCGGATTAAAAAGGTCCTGCTCCAAAGATCCAAGCACAAACACTCTGGAACCACTTTCCTAACAGGACTGATGGATACTCTTGTACACATATAAAAGGGGATTACAGAGAGTGTGTGTGTGTGTGTGCGCGCACACACACACACACACACACATCTTTTTCATCCTTCCCTCCTTTCTGACCAGACAGCAATCAAAGCGTCCTTTGGATCCGGTCCAACCAAAAGAAGCGGTCATCTGGGGGATACTGTAAACTTACACTAGCCCCTTCTAAATGTCACATTTCTTTCAGATTTCAGACACCTGATCACATTTGGTGAATTACGGGTCATAGCCTCGCAATGTTATTTGTACCCGAACGCAGCTGAACAGGAAGTTTGTTTCAGTTCCCAGCAGGACTCCTGGCTGAGTGACGACGACTTTACGCTGTTTATCTCTTGGGATTAGTTTGATGACGTGACTCCTTTAGTTGTTTTTATAAACGAAGGAAGACGACCGAATGAGATTTCTCCCTTTGTGTGTTTGGCTTTCTGGTTCCTGGTAACGGTTTTAAACTAAAGAAACAGTTCGCTCAAATCAGGCGAGGAGTTCATACTAGTGATTTAACACCCACATGATATACTGTAACTGCTTTGACGTCTAATTCCTTTTGACTTTTTTTCTTCTCTTTTACTGACAGTGCAGACTCATGGGTCATGATGGTGGATCCCTTTAACCATTAGGTTACACATAGAGAGTACCAACACAAAGAGCTAAAACAATGAATGATTACCAGTAACCCTGGGGTGAGGGGTGGAGAATTCTTACTTTCTGAAATCTATTTTATATTACTATCAAACCAAACACTTTTAGATTTGTAGATTCAAACAGATTTAATTTACTTTTTTACTTTTGTGTTGTTAGCGCCGTTATTTAGCCGATCAGCAGCGTGTCGCCCACCGGCTGCTGACAGCTGATATTGTTAAAAGTAATCCTATTAACTGAAACCCCAGTGGAACCGTTAAACAGTGAAAGTCAAACCGTATGTTTGCTTTGAAATGTCTTTCTTTTTTTTTGTGGCTATAAGAACATTCAGATGTTCATATCTTTCTTATAATGAAGACCATCCACGTCATGCCAAAAGTAATACAGCAGAGACACAAAAGGAATTAAGCGGTATCAAATTGCGATATTACAGATGGATCGTCAAGAAACCAATTTCTCTGCGAAAATAAACTTGAACGACCCCGAGGCTGAGTACCACGATGGACCGTGGTGCTTTACTATTATTCAGGAAAAACAAATCTTAGTTGAGTCTTTTTTGTGAACAGGGAAGTGCAGAGCACAGAGTTAAAGACAATTTATGAGCAAAGCCATCGCTGGATGAGTCTTACTGGGAGATTCAGCAGCTAAAGCTCCGCACTCATCTCCCAGTCATGGGGGCCAACGACTAGACGGCTTGGGGCGGAGTCACTGAGGTGGGTATATAATAGTAATCTTACCATTTGAAGAGGAAACTAAAATATTATTCCAATATAAAAGTATTTAGAGCAGTAACCATACATAGGATAAAAATACAATCATTTATTGTAAAAGTGTAATAACCTCTCTCTATTATTTATTCGCCTAGCGATGATAGAGTGCAGGCGTAAATAGCTGGTTATCTGGAACCAGCTATTTATTGAAACAAAAGCGTTCTTTTCGAACGTTACACTGCTGATCGCACTATGGATCACTAGGGGCTGCATGTCACCCATCGACTAAAATGACACCACTCTGCTAAACAATGCGTATTGTCACGAGATGAAAAGTCATGTTTTCAAGTTGGACCCTTGCCTCTATTGGCTCATCCAATCACAAACATTGCATTGATAAGACGAAATGGAACCATGGAAATAATGTCTCTGATCTTATAAAAAGTGGAGGCACCAGTTCACCATTCAAAGCTCTCCAAATGTCTTGGCAGGACAATTCTTTGACAACGACTTTGACTCCTGAGGTATAATTAGGCTCAATGTGTGTGTGTGTGTGTGTGTGCGCGTGCGTGTGTCTTTACCTGTCCATCAGTGTTGCCTATGGGCGAGTTGAGGATGAAATCAGAAGGTGCAAAGACATCCACCAATGATACAGCATCCTCCTTCAACTGGGGGAGACAGACAGAGCAGTTTAATGTCGGGTAGAGGAGCAGAATCTACCGCAGCTATAACTTTGCAAAGACAGATAGAAAAGGACACAAAAACCCAATCCCAAATAACCATACACACTATAAAATAGTACAGGAGGATGTTTCTGTACCTGTGAGCAGAGGGTGAGAATGGCCATCTGGACCAACTCTGTCGGCTTCTTTCCACTCAAGTACCCACCTGTGCGGTAACAAATGTCAGAAATATCAATACAATGTGATGTCTAGATGGATGTGTGCAATGTGTCGAGGACAGTGCGCACCCTGGTAGAGTGTGGCCGTGTGGCTGCTGAGGCTCCACAGCCCATACAGGGCGCACAGCTTGCTCAACACAGGTCTGAGACCAGCAGGTGTGTCCTGGTCAGTGGTCAGATCATGAAATCTCTGGAGGCAGTTGTGTTCTATGTAGGCGATGGCCAGGGAGCGGCAGTAGTAAACCTAAACACACACACACACACAGACCATTTTAAGCTGTTGTCAGAATAGATTAGAATTTCTGATTTATTATCCCACAAGCCCGAGATCTGTGTGGGATAAACGAGGAATGGGCGAAGCAACCTTTCGATATTGTTTGTTCACAGTTTTTTTGAAGTCTTAACTTTGGCTTTGACAAAAGTTAGTTTTTTTTTTACATCCAGTGATGCCGAAAGTACCATATTCTGTGGAGGGATTACTTACAGATGTACGGCTCATGTAGTGACCTGTCAATCATAAGGTAGCCCTGCCCATTCCATGATTTGTGGTCTATTTGACTCCAAAAACATTAGTTATTAAATGAATATCATGGTGTATTGAAGAAGATCTGAAACTAGAATGAGTGCAACAAAAAGTGAAAAGTCATTTTCTCATCGATTTCTATGAAATCAGTCAATGGTCACCGGCAGATGACATACTTGCAATATCTGTTCGGTTATAGTAATTGAATCTATTGTACATCTTATACAATGTTCATTCTGTACACATGGCATCCATTGTAGTCTGTCCATCCCGGGAGAGGGATCCTCATCTGACGTTCTCCCTGAGGTTTCTTCCCTTTTTTCCCCATGGAAGAGTTTTTTCATTTTTTGGGGAGTTTTTCCTGTGCCGATGGTGGGTTTCGGGACAGAGGATGTCGTATGTGTACAGACTGTAAAGCCCTCTGAGGCAAATTTGTAATTTTGGGCTATACAAAATAGAGAAAGAAAGAATAGAGATTTTAGTTCTGCATTGGCTTCACTTTTAATCCCACCTGGAATAACGATCAGCAAGGCCGCTCTAATGATGCACAAGAATGGGAGAAAGGCAACAGCTTTTTCTACAGTTTAGGTTACAGCCATTTAAAGTAAGTGAATGTTCAGTTGTTCAAACCAAACGACAAAACCAGGCCTATCTTTTATAATTTTACTGCAAACCACGTGTTTTAAAATAACTACTTTATTTAGTGCAAATTGAATCACACAGAACATGAAACTAAGGGAGAAACTGGTACACAGATACATAATAACAAACGTACTGAATGCTTAATTCTCTTGAAACTAACATTTCTACAACAAACGTTAAAGTGTGGTAAGAATTCTAACCAAAACAAGTTGATGACGTAATCAAGTGACACACACATTTCCCAGAACCACAACATACGCCCATGTGACACTGTGAACTCCAGCCTGCATCATATTGGTTTGTGACATAATAACGTGAACCAGAAAAAACTATTTGTTGAGCTGAACATTCGTTCGGTTTCTGATTCGCTTACTTGGAGACATTAGATAAGTAGTGTATTTGAAAGAAAGGACAATGGAAATGAACACATGGACAGCCCAAAAAGGAAGGTTTGTGTGGATCTCACCTGGCTGCTGTTGCGGGCCTCAAAATCATCCTTCCCCGAGGCCCTCTGCTCTTCAAGCTTCCTCCTGCTCTCCTCAAGCAGGAAACACACCAGCCACTTATAGGCTGCCAGTGGCACTGATGTGACAAAAACAAAACCAGTATAGTCATTTGCTTTTACTGAGAAACACATGTAGTAATGCTGTGTCTCCAATATTAAGAAAAAATGTTGATTTTGGCAAATACAACCTTCTGTTTAAGGAGTACCTGCAGAGTCCATGCACTGCTCCATTGTTCTTGCTGTGAACTTTCCTCCCAGTATGTGGAGGGAATCCTCCAGAAAATCCACAGTGTGGAGAGGAGACTCGATCCGTACACCGTCTGAAACCACACAACACAGCAGCTGACCACCAACTCTGGCAGGAGAAGCAATATGGAACAGAGATTTTACCATGAAGGTCTCAGGTGTGAGAACAACGGACCAGCTCTTCACTCTTTCCAGGATCATAGAGGGGGCTTGGGAGTATGCTCATCCAGTCTACATGTGTTTTGTGGACTTGGAGAAGGCGTATGACCGGGTCCCCCGAGAGAAACTGTGGGAGGTGCTGCGGGAGTACGGGGTGAGGGGGCCCTTGCTTGGGGCCATCCAATCCTTGTACGCCCAAAGCGAGAGCTGTGTTCGGGTGCTCGGCAGTAAGTCGAAGGCGTTTCAGGTGGGGGTTGGCCTTCGCCAGGGCTGCGCCTTGTCACCAATCTTGTTTGTGGTCTTCATGGACAGGATATCGAGGCGTAGTCGGGGGGAGGAGGGTCTACAGTTCGGGGGGCTGCGGATCTTTTTGCAGATGATGTGGTCCTGATGGCATCTTCCGTCTGTGACCTCCAACTCTCACTGGAGCGTTTCGCAGTCGAGTGTGAAGCGGTCGGGATGAGGATTAGCACCTCTAAATCTGAGGCCATGGTAGGGGATGTGTCCTTACCCCAAGTGAAGGAGTTTGGCCGGAGAATTGGAGCAGCGGGGGCGGTATTGCACTCGCTTTACCGCACCATTGTGACAAAAAGAGAGCTGAGCCGGAAGGCAAAGCTCTCGATCTACCGGTCAATCTTCGTTCCTACCCTCACCTATGGTCATGAAGGATGGGTCATGACCGAAAGAACTAGGTCACGGGTACAAGCGGCCGAAAGCTCGGAGTAGAGCCACTGCTCCTTTGCGTCGAAAGGAGCCAGTTGAGGTGGTTTGGGCATCTGGTGAGGATGCACCCTGGGCGCCTCCCTAGGGAGGTGTTTCAGGCACGGCCAGCTGGGAAGAGGCCCCGGGGAAGACTCAGGACTAGTTGGAGAGATTCAACCCCACCTTAACAATATCCTCCTTCCTTTCCATCCTTTAACAGTGGGGCACATCAGCAATGGGAGACAATTGTGTCTATCAACAATAAGTGATCGCCAGTCAATTGTTAAAACAGAACTCTAATTCCAAGTTGAACCTTTTTGCAGTCATTTTGATGGAAGGCCCAGGTCTACACCTTACAAAGTGGTAACAATAAAAGCTCGTAACAGTGCTCATTGGGTAGTGTACTGACCGCGGTGCTTAGCGTGGAGCCAGCTGAGCAGGTAGTTGCTGGTCTGTTGCAGCAACACGTTGTTGTCTCCTTCGTATGTGCAGTTTGGATCGTTGTCATTACGCAGATCACCAAGCCGGTTCACTGAAGGAGAGTGTCAGTAGTTAAGTCTCCGAGCGTACGTTTCTCTGTGTGTCTGTGTGTGTTGGAGACTCACTGGCCAGGTATCCGTGTCCACCGCAGGCCTCTCTGCACTCCTGGATCCCCCTCTGAGCGGTCCACGAGCCCAGTGGCTTACTGGAGCAGCCTATGGCATGGATCTCCCTGCCCATCTCTGCCTGCATCATACACACAGCACAGACGTTGATACAGAAGAACAACTCTTGATATGGACACACACACACACACCTAACCCGTCTTCTTAACTCACTTGTCGGCCACTCTTGTCCCTCATCATCTGTCCAAGCTGAAACTCAACAAAGTTCATGAAGATGGATTTGGAGAAGTGTTCGAGAGCATATGCTGCTGCCAGGTACGGGATCAGACGCCATTGCTGCAAGGAATACGGTGTCACATTCAAAAAGTGACGTGGATTCAGATGCCTTTCGACAATGTAGTTCTACTTTGATGGTACATTTTCTCTCATTACCACTCCCTCGCATCCTGACCTGTAACTGGTACTCCAAAACAGGAATCTCCTCCATGTCTTTGGGTCCAAACTGTCTCCTGGTGGCTGAGAAGCGGATGGCAACAATCAGAGCCAACTTTAGGTTGACGAGGGCCATCCTGGTGATAGAGATCCTGCCGCCTGACAGGGCACCAAGAGACTCCCCGAAACGCTTGTTGGGATCCTAAAAGGGAAACAAGATATGTTGGTGGGGCCATTAAAGAATAATGCTGAAGATAAGAAAATGTAGAGTCTTTATTCTCATAAAGAAGGCAAAGCATAAGAACAGGACAGAAAAAAAACTGTTGCTCTTTCCAGTGTTCAACAACTTTCCCATTTGCAGGTGTGCTCGTGTTTATTCAGCTGTTCCGTTCAAGCCTTTGGATGGAGAAAAATGTAAGAACATTCCCTGCATGCACTCATCTGCAAACAGACATTCGACATTCAAAATGATCTAGAGCCAATTTCCCACCTCAAGTACTGGAAAACATGAAAGGCAAGACGCTGGCCCGACAGTGATGGGAATCACACTTTAGTAAAGAACCAATTCTTTATAGAAGGCTTTATTCATTGTTTTATCTGGCAAACTTGTGGGATTATAAATACATGACAAGAATATTAGAAGCTTTTCCAAACTGTATTAGGGAGAAAAAAAAGAAAGTACTTTGACCGCTAGAATGTCTTTCGTGAGGGCGATAGTTTCATGTGTGCAGGCCTCCATCTCGCAGACAACAGGCTGTGGCTCGGGTTGTACAGATGAGTGTCCATTAGAGAGAGTGGTTTGATCTTTTTACATACTTCATTTTAATGGCTCAAATCAGCTCAAATATAGCCAGACAAAAATGGTGGCCTTTTATTTTCAACAGCATTTAAACATTCAAAAGCTTGTAGACCACCTCTTTGTAATCTTCAACTAATTCTGACTTATTATGACTTGGCGATCTGTTGTGGGTAATCATTTTGGACAAAACAATAGCTGTTTTTTTATTATTACTTTAGAATTGTTTGTCTTGTAAAGTATGCATGTACAATATGCATATATTGCATTACTTTTCGAGCAGTTGTATCCTATTGTGAGGCTTGTCTGTTGAGTTTGATCGAGTCATCTCTGCAAAGCAAGTCTGTGGCTCAACCAATGATCATTTGCCAGAGATTAAACACTTACACAAACTACCTCAACAGGCTTGGAATGTCGATTGAGTGCTCTCCTACGCCACTAGTGGAAATTTTACTAACCTTGAACGGTGTAAGATATCGGCCATCGGGAGCGACGTCTCCAGTCTTGTTCAGCAGGTTCTCCCGAGGGACCCTCACATTATGAAACAAAGCAAACCTGAAGGGAAGAAGATGGAATGGCTTTGTGTTACAAAGACACTGACAATATGTGCACAACCACAAGGCAGGACGCACTTTGGAATCAGTGTTCTTCCATTTGTACTGGTCTTGCTTTGTCTCTAGCAGAATATCTCACAGTGCAGCAACATTTTTGCACAGAAATTAAAAACAAACTCACAAAACATATACATCAATGAAAATGTATGTGGAACCTTAAGGTGTGTCGGTGTCATTAGTTATGTGCTACCACTACGCTATTAAAATAAGACACCTAAACAAACAGGCCAGAAACTAACAATTTTGAAGATTAAACATATTTTATAAAGTTTCAGATATCATCATCATCTTTTTTTGTATTCGGTTAAAGGCTACATTAGGTTGAATCTTTATTTACAACAAAAGTCAAAACAATAGTGCACAGGTACTGGACCATAACCAGCATCGACCAAAATGTTCGAACGTTTGAAATCGAAATAACTATTTTTCTAACTAAGTTTAATTGCATCCCCATTTACTCTTTTCAGGAAACCCAATGAAGCCAGTCCAATGCTGCCTGTGTGTCTGCTGTTCCGCTTCTTTAGACTATGAATGGAGCTCCATCTAGCTGCTTCACTGAAGTACTGGCGCACACAGGATGCTGAATAAATAAAGATGTATCCAGATGTGATCCAGATGTCTTCTTAACAGTAGAAAGGTAACCAGAAGCAGACAGTCGGAACGGTTCAGCCCCCCCCCATCACTTACACTGAGGCACAGACCTCATTTACACTACAGCAAATATTAAATAATCCTAAAAAGCTCAGAGATGAAGGAGCGGTATTAAAAAGAAGAAAAAAACAAATGGAAAGAAATTCAGAATTTATCACATTTGACCTGAGAGCGGGCTGGTCAAACATTGTCAGTAGAGTCCGACTCTAGTGCTTTGTAGGTGACAGTGAGAACAGATAACTTTATTTGCTATGGGGGGGACACATATATCTCGAAAGCTGCTTGACATGGGAGACAAACAACAATTGGTCAAATATTATATTAAGCTGATGCAGGTTGGGGACAACAGCAGGGGACAGTGGACCGATACTCGCAGAAACAAGACAGAGGGGCAGCATTTACAGAGAGATGATCACTGATCAGTACTTTCTCACAAACGATATGATCCGCCATGTGAGCGACACGGGATTCATTAATATTAAAGAACTCAGTGGCTACGCAATCTGTACCATTCATATGCAGATTAAAATCACCAGCCAACAAAGCTTTATCTAGCTCGATTATACTGTAAAATAAATGTGTTAAGTTAGTCCCTGTGTTTCCTCAGACATCATAAACAGGATGTAACAGTTTCTGATAAGCCCACATTAAAAAGACAACCACTAAATGCTAGGCTGGATAATGTCATCCGTTCAATCACTTGAGAAGGGGAAGCGCCTACCCGTTGTCCAGTCCGTTCTGGCCCAGCTTCTTGCCCATGTCTCCAACCAGCACACCAGGCAGAGCGAGCAGCGTCTTGGGATCTCTCACCTACAGTACAACGGTTATCGAGTTAGGACCTCTGAATGTGTATGGGAAAAGAGACGTCCCATCTCTCTTTTTTTTTTTGAAAGAAAAAAAGCGATTGGTCAAAATCGAAAATTGAAAGAAGATTCCCAAGTTTCAGTAGCTCTCAAACTATGTCAATAATTGTAACGTTTTTTTATGTCATCAAAAAAAAGTTTCAACTGCCTTCATTTCATTACTTTGAAAAACTTCCAACTGCTTCCATCTTTAGAAAAGACAAACTTCTCTGGGATCATATTTTGTACAAAGTGCAAAGCTACTTTTTCCAGCGTGCACCTGTGAACTCCAATAACGCTGGGATTTATTATATGCAGTTGCACAACATCACACCAGATAAAATTGACAATAACCGCCTGTAATTGGGTGAAGGAGCTGAAGCTCAAAGGTCTCACCGGCACAATAAAGGAGTGCAGGCCGTGGCACGCCTGGTCCGGGGTGTACAGCTGGGCGAACACCATGGCGTGGGTCGCCGTCTTGCCCAGGTTCCCCACCCAAAACTTGGCGGCCTCAAAGTCCGGCGAGTTGATCACAAACTCCTGCCGAATACAACGTTAGAGCTAGACTGCTGCCAGGGATGTGGCCGGACATTCAGACACGTGTACATGTGTGCTGACTTGGGTCTTGGGGTCATAGGTCGCCGTGGTCCTCATGGCTCTGGTGTTGCTGCCGTGGCTCAGCTCGGTCAGCGCAAAGCAGCCGAACGTCTACAGGTGGAAACGAGACGAGGATGAATATCACCCGAGTGAGATTGGTGGGAGCTGTTGGTGGCTCAGAGCCGTCCTGAAGTCTTACCGTCATGTCTTCGACATCTGCAACGTACTTGCTGTGTCGGGCAGATCCTGTGTTGGCAATAGTTGCTCCGAACATCTGAAACAAAAGAGGTTTTTTGCACTCTTGAATAAGACAGCAACTGACAAAGCTGAAATGAACGCTTGTTACACCACAAAGGTTCCCACAGTTCCAATATATCAGTGGACTCCTCTGAAAGCTTTAGTCCGTCCCAGATTGATCATGTCGATAGTGCTACAGGTTCTTTGAGAGTGGCGCTATTGCTCCTCTAGAAAGGAGGAGTTTGCTCCTTGGTATATCCCCGTTTTAACCATACTGCCCTACTTAGGGAGCTGTGCTCCATAAATGCTGCGTTACCAGAGTCCTTAAAAGTAGGATGGGAGCTTCTCCTGCCCTTCTCCGTAAGGTTCCCCCAGCATCGAAGGGTGTTTTTCTTGTGCCGATGTGAGGGTTTGTGAGGGTTTCAGGTTCGGGCCAGATGCTGCACACTTTACCATTACGGTCAACGGGGGGGGCGTTGACGGTCCGATCAACAAAGGCCGGCGAGGGGGTGGCGCTGACGCTACGCCAAAGTCATCCACACTGGGCCGGATGTGGCCCATGAGCCGTTGGTTTGAGACCCCTGGCTTAGCCATAAGGGTTGCGAGAAATTAAGCCAATAAAGAAGTGCCTTGAACCTGCATCATCTCTACCAGCCACCAGGAGGTGACTCCTCTGGTCCTGTAGAATTCTATGAGAAAATGACTACTTCTCTCTTGCTTTCTTTCTTCCTCAGTAAACATTATAAAATATAAGTTTATGTTCTCAATATCTAGGTCTAAGTTGTCTACAATACAGCATGATGTTTATTTAGTGAATGATTTCCACGTAGAGTCAAACAGGCCATAAAGCAGTTTTAACTCGTTTGCAACTTTGTGATTGAGTGTTCCTTTTGCTCCACAAAATGAAAAATGCACTCACCCCTTTGTTGAGGAAGTACTTTGCCGACATGGCCCAGTCATACATGCCCAGACAGTCACTGAGAATCACAGTCTTCCAGGGGTTCGACATCACCTCATCTCTTGTCAGAAAGTCATAGCGGAACAGCTGCTTCACCCTGCCGACGTTTTATCGGTCAAGAAGCAATAAATAACGTAGGATAATGTTAGAAAAATGTATTCAACACCCGTATAAAATCAGTGAACAGAAAACGTATGCTTGCAAGCATGGAGCAGAGGTGAAACACAACACACACCCTCCGACAAGTGGCTGACAATAACGTAGCCAATCAAGTAATACTACGCAATACAATAAATATCCGGGTCGCTTCAGGTTTTTGGTTCACAAATTCCACCCGGCAGTGATGATATAGAAGACGATGCGCAGTGTGTGGGATTCCACGCTCAGTGAATGAATGGTGTGTGTGTGTGTCTACTCATCAGCTGGAATAGCCTTTAGTGAGCTTCTGCTAGTAGCAATGAGCCTACCTCACAAACACCATACGGCTATAAGGAAAGCAGGTTTTTGGTCCAATGTTACGGAGTGATGATACCTGAGGAAGGTCATCGCTCTCATTTTCTCGATGGGGACGTCTTCCCCAGGCTGACGTGCAAACAGAGGGTCATCCTCAAGTGTCTTTAACACGTGTTGCTGCGGGAGAGAAAGGAGATCAATTTAGAAGATGAGTGGAGAACATTTAGAGAACTTCAGACACCCAAAATGCACTCCTGTTACAAGAAGTCAGGGGGTAAAAAACAGCATGTTTCTTGCATACATAACTTTTATTCAGTTAGATTTTTTGGATCAACAGGCAGGAGCACCTTTGTGACGGCAAATGCTGCATAACCACGAGATTGATTTCTAGCCTTGATTTCTTTTATCGCATGTCATTTCCTATCCTCTTCTGTCCATTTCCAGCCCCTAAACCCTGTCATCCAAAATAGTAGGGGAAAAAAAACGAGAGATATAGTCTGAACTAGAGAGAGTGTTACATGCTGACAGCTACCTTAAATGCCACGATGTCCTCTCCCTCTAAGAAGAAGAGCATGTCCTTCCAGTTGAAAGAGGCTTTTTTCCGGTAGAAATCCAGCGGGCCACTGGGAAGGTCAGCCACGTTGTGAGCCATCTTCTAGAAGCTGGGACGGAAGCGGTTGCTAGGCACTGCTCGCTCTGGAAACCAACGAGGGAGGAAAATCAGATGACAACAACCGTGGAAGAAGAATCCAGATCGGTTATCCCAAAACCCAGAGGTTTACCTGAGAGCAGGTGGTTTCTAACAATTTGATTAACTTTAACTTAGTTTGAGAATTAGGGATTTCTTGCCTTAGAAGAATGGTTTCTGTGAATTAAAAACTAGCTTTTTGCTTACGATTATGGCAAAACCATAACTGTGTTTATTTGTTATTTTAAATGCTATCCTTTGTCTTTGAGTCTGAAATCAATTTTGATTGAAAGACCTTCAGCAAGACAGCTGATATAAATTATAAATAACGTAATAAGGGTATTACGTTATTGCACAGGAATTGAGGGTGAAATGTGGGTCCAGTCTGCGCAGACAGGTTGGTTTATGTGGCTGTAAGATAAGAAACTGTCCTGCAGAGTAAACGAACCATCAGAGAACCTGAGCACACAGTGCAAAGGTGGAAAGCGGCAACCTCACTGACATACATGTCTGTCTGTCTGTCCGTCTGTCCCTGTCCATTGGGACACAGCGTTAACTAAGGCGCTGATGAAGGACGGGATTCTTAGAGAAAGTTAAGTTAGCTGCTTTGTTTTAGCTTCAAATTAACCGACAACATTAACGTTACTAACGTAATTTATATAATCACTTACAAGTGTGTTTTATTGGATCTTTAGCTTCCGCACACGGACACAATGAGTCTTACCTTAAAGCCCCGTGTATAGTGTCCCTGTTAACGTCTCTGTCGGGGCATTGGTGTCCAGCTGGGTTTGTGTGTCAGAGGTGCTGCTGTGCCTCGTCTTCTTCTTCTGTGATGTTTAACGGCAGCTTGCATCTCATTGGTCGCATTACTGCCATCTTCCGGTTTTCTTCTTTCGTTGTCCCATCCATAGATATTATATACAAAGGCTACATGTCTCATCCGCGCTGCCGCCACACATGGCGGCCATCTTGGGAGGGGGAGCTCGCTCACCCATGACATTGTGTTGGTAGTGATACATGTACATTTTAAATAACCATAACTTAAACGGTTTGATTTGTTTTAAACGTCAGAGATGTAGTTATGACACTGCATACATAATATGAATAATTATGTTATGTTCTAAAAAACAGTATAATGTTGTAAAATAGGTACAAGATTTCCCTTTACAAATATACATCAAGAAATGCTGTTGAAATCGAAATTCATACAAAAATGATATTGAACAGAACATTATTCATAAGTATGCAGTGTGATAACAAAATTTCTGACGTTTATAATAAACCAAACCATTTCAAAATCGGTCGAAAGTGGATTGTCTATTTATGAAGGAAAATGTCAATAAAAGAAAAATATATAAACAGTCTTTTCTTTCCAAATAGTTTTAACTGTACATAACAACCATGGAAACTTGTACTGACTTACAGGCTGTGGAAATTGTAATGGCATGCATTGTCTGTAATTTTTTTTTTCTCTCTTTCTTTATATTATTTTCTATTTTCTCTTATTTTTTTATGCTTTCATCTTTGTCCATCTCACTTATCTTCTGCGACGGCCCCCTTTTACATTATTTTGATGTATTTATTTTGTCGTTCCTTATTGAATATTTGTGAACATGTACTTGTTACAATGTTGTAAACTTGATATTTGTTCTTTATTATTTCCCTTGGTTTAACACTAAGAAATAATCAGCTCAAGAATCATTATGTTAAACGTTAAATAGACCATACTTGTATTTCTCTTTTCTAGTCGTCAAGACCACACAAAGTTGATCCTCTGATTGAAGGACGGCAATGCTCTCCACAGTCACCTTTGGGTGTGACTGTTTTGTTTAATTTTCCTTTTGGCCAAAGCTTGCACAACCTGTTCAAATCATGCCCCTCCTAGAGGTGTTAGCGAAAAGTGCGTCTGGAGTGTCAAAAAGATATGTGAATACAACCAATCCAAGCTCCATAAAGCAGAAGACAAATTAAACATCATGTTGCAATATGCAGATGGCAAACACAAATCAAAGTTTATCTTATCACATCTTCCCCCCAGTCGCTTATCCAGGGTCGGTTTACAGGGGCAAGAGCTCCAGCATGGGACCCCAAACGTCCCTTTCCCGGGCCACATCTACCCGCTCTGACGGGGGGATTCCAAGGCGTTCCCAGGCCAGATATAATCTTTCCAACTAGTCCTGGGTCTTCCGCAATGCCACTTCCCAGCTGGCCGTGCCTCGAACACCTCCGGCGCCCAGGGGGTTTCCTTACCAGATGCCCAAACCACCTCAAAGGGCTCTACTCCAGGCTCCTCACGGAAGGCTGTGCTTCTCACCCTATCTCTAAGGGAGACGCCAGCCACCCTCCTGAGGAAACCCATTCAGACCGGTTTTACCCGAGACCTAATTCTTTTGGTCATGACCATAGGTGAGTAGGAACAAGAAAGCTGTAGTGCAAAACCGCCCACAGTGCTCCGCCTAACTCACACTCTATCTTCCCCTCACTCCGGAACAAGCGCAGGCAATCCTTTGGTTTCTTGCTGAGAAACATGGCCTCAGATTTAGATTGCTCCTCATTTTGACTGCTTCACAGTCGGCTGGGAAGCGCTCCAGTGAGAGTTAGAGGTCATAGACCAAAGATGCCATCAGGACCACATAATCTGCTCCCTCCTCCCACCGACTACGCGTTGACATCCTGTCCATGAAAACCACAAACAAGATTGCTGACAAGGCGCAACACTGGCGGAGGGGCACCCCCACCAGAAACGAGTCGGACTTACTCCCGAGATCCCAAACACAACTCTCGCTTGGGTGTACGAATCAAACATAATATAAATGATAAGACAAACGACAATTTTTTTATTTATCATATTATATCATATTTGTGGTCTGGCAAACAACCAACACACTCTTGCCAGGTCTTGCACCTGGAATCTTCCACCCATGGGATGGCTGTGTTCCTGTTACACCACAAGAGTTGGTTTTTAGTGTTTTTTTGAACACAAATACAACATTAAAACACATAATTGTTTTTGAAATGCACTTATTGTAAGTCGTTTTAAATAAAAGCGTCAGCTAAATGACATGTATTGTAATAATGTGATGTAATAATGATATAGCCTCAATAACAGACAATGCTATTCGCATATGATGTTAAAATACTCCATGTAAGAGCATGGCTGCATAATAGCTGGCTTATTTAAATCTTCCCAGTTTAACAAATTGTGAACATTCTGCAGTAAAAAAAAAGCATAAAATGATGATTACAGGGAGATTTGAGAGAGACTTGTCAATGGTGACAGTCAGACTGGTCTGTGTCCACACTACCGCATAAATGCTCCTTTCCCAAAATAATCTTTGTGTACTCATTGACAATGTCAACTTCAGAGTTAGTCGGGCACAAAATAACGTACTCACATCACCACTCGAACTCCTAAATGTTGATCTGGATGTCCTCATACAACCAATTGAGTCTTTCACTGCACAGAGCGAGCGATTAGCTAAGCTCAACAGCAAATTGCCCCTCCGCTGGAATCTCAGGAATCTTTCTTTGCCATGGTCTAGAGATTTCTGGATATCCTTTTTGTTTGGTCTAGGCTTAAACAGCCTTAGTGATCCTCTTTTTTCTGTATAATGAAAAATGTCAACATTCTTTTAGTTATGAGTATCCTTAGGTATGAGCTCTTAAAGCATCTTCCTATTATCTCAGTCCGGCTACCATGGGGCAACATGGTCCGGATTCGCTTGCAGTCCCCACTGAGCCACTACATGGTGCCTAGAAATTGCCCGGCCATTGCTTAACATCGTTAGTTGTGCCAAAAACATACACTTTTAAGTTGCAATGGCAGAGTGGCGCTATTCTCGTGAGGCTTAGCGCTCAAAACCATTGACTACTTGGAAATGCGTAAAAGTTAGGTCGGTTGAAATTCATGGAGCCCCAGCTACAGGCAAAATCCTACAATCAGCAGCCCAAGTTAACTGAAGTGAATAAGCCGGGGTCAACCGCTGCAAAGACATGCAAAGAAAACACAGACAGAATAGAACGTGTTTTGCATTGATTGTCGAGCTGAATCAAAATGTGCAGGAAATATTTTTTCCCTATTCCACATATCTTTATAACTTTCATTCCCTTAATTGAATCTGTCTTTTTTTGACACCGAATTACTAGTTATAACCACCGGTGAGACTCAAGCCGATTCCTGCAGCGCCTCTGGGTTATTAGGTTACACCGCTCCTCTTTGCCCCACCTCACCCACAGCCTTACTCACCTGCCACTTACGGGCAAGGCCAACTATCTTAGGCCCATTAACCCTGAGGCCACACAGGAAAGAGAACTGATGTCTGTAGACCACCTTGTTATGGCTCTTTCTCAGAAATTTAGATTCTCACTTGCCCAACCATTACTTACCTGGAAAACTCCACATTACAGAGCCATGAAAAGATTCTGAGTTGTTGGAGAAAGCGATGAATAAAAAATATGTATATTGGCTCATTCGCGTCTGACAGGCATTGCTACGAGAACATGTGTGTCCATCTATTCGTCATCATTATGCGACTGAAATGCAATTAAACTAATAAAACTAGCTGGAGAGGTTGTATGGTAAGGTACATTACCAAAGCCTTTAAAAAAATACAACCATTGAAGTCTTTTAAACGTAACATGAGACTCCAAATTGGATTTTTGGTTTGCAGGAGTAGCCCATATTGATACTTAGTTTCCGAGGTGCGTATCAATCTTTCCTTTGAAGCCATGCCCTGAGTCATACCCGGCTTTATCATTTAGTTTACTCTAATGACAGAAGCCTAATTGAGTAATGAAATGGTGTCGCACTGAGGTAGCCTTAAAACTAGTGACTGATACCATAAACTCTGTCTAGTTAGGTAATAAATCAGGGGAGACGTACAATAATTTTCTTCAAACTGACAAAGTGTGTAGTGAAGGTAGGGAGACAGATTTGTTCCCACACGAGTATGGGAATTCTTCAATGCAAGGCAAGTAGAAAACTATACTAGCTACTACTACTATACATAGGCTATGGTGACACAAGTGTCTAAATTTAACAAATAATAGTTGGGCATCAGTTTTGTAGCTTCACATCACCTGCTTTCATTAACAATGGCTTATAGTTTGTTGTCGCTGGTAGTCGGTAGTGTCTACAGCCATCTTGCAGCTTTGTGAAGCTTAATAGGACAGCACAGTTGTCTCTGTGACTTCAAATGTATTGATATGCTCAGGCGAATATTTCCTAAAAATGCTACATGCGACTGGACAATTCAAGTGTTGTGCTTCAAAAATACTTCCATATCAAACTAGAAGTGAAAACTATGTTAGGTATGCACAGAATGTATTACATTACATGTCATTTAGCTGACGCTTTTATCCAAAGCGACGTACAATAAGTGCATTCAACCATAGGGTACAAACTCAGGAGAACAAGAAACAAGAAAGTGCAATTTCCTCAAATAAGCCAATTTACAATTTGCTATAGATGAGTGACGTTACAAGTACAATTTATGTATAAGCAGTAGTGGAAAAAACCTACGACCTATATTGTATATTTGAGTAGAGCTATACTGCATTGAGAAATGCAAATTTAAAAGAAATCTAATATCAGAGGTCATCATTAGATTTTTGACGAGGAAATGGAAACAGGCCAAAATGAAAAAAAACAAAACTTAAATTTGTCTTCAACCTCACCAACACCACTAAATCTTACTGATTAACATTTTGTAACTTAATTGTTCAATTTGAACAAAAAACACTGATTAATGAAAGTTTAACCATCACAGTGTGATTCCTTAAAATATGCTTTTGGGACATTGGTATTCATGCTGCTGTAGAGGCCGATCTCTCATAATGTTACACAGTGAAAGACCAATCCGTGTGTAAATTGACTGAAGAGTCGGTAAAGTTGGAAGCTTAGCTAACAGTCAACGAACAAAGGTTCTGTTGCGTGACATCGTGGTGCGTTCAGGCTATGCTCAAAGAAAAAAGTCAGTAGTGGACAAAGGTAAGTTATAACGTTATTGTGATGTGTTCACATGTAATCTCATAAAATGTATGTGGGAAACTTTGAATAGATTTGAAGGAGATGTTTTAACAACAACATACATGTATATTAGAGAGGAATTATGACTTGTTTACACTAAGGTTTACAACAAGGAAATATGTGTCTGCCAATATGGTTGCTTTGGATAATAGCGTCAGCTAAAGGACATGTAATAATAATAATAATAATAAACAAGTAATGTAATGGATCATCAAGGATTGCCAAGTAGTATCAGCAGCAAAAAACCCTAATCTCTAAAAGTTATATTTTGCTGTCTTTTTTCCTTTTCCGATCTCTGATCTGATTCTGATCCGTGATACCATCCAAACCGTTTTATGACCCGTTTCACCAATTATTGTGGCTGTACAGAAATAACCGACACTGCACAAAAGTACATTTTCTAACTTTGAACAGAACCAGGCTTGCCGTTTCCTCCAGTCTTTTTGCTGAGCTATACTAGAAGAGTTGAACCATTTTTTAAGGCACACACGCAATACTGATAGGCCTACATATTCTCAGTTGACTCCAGATAGAACGGAAACAAGAGTAATGCAAAAAGACACGGACGCTTCACTTGTCTTTACTTAAAATACAACAAATAAGGAAGGTTTGTTCATGTTCCCCCTTTTGGAGGTCCAAGGCATTACCAATCAAGCCATGATAAAGCAATCACTACAAATAAAGCACAGAGAAAGATTAAATGTACAGAGATAAAGATTTGCATCACCAGGTGCATATTAAAATAAAATATTTGAAGCCTAAACATTTCTATCATCACACTAGCTAGTTTAATCTCTAGCAGTGCATCTTCTTAATATTTTGCTTGTAACAATGTTAGTCTTTAAAGTAACTTGTTACTACACCTGTCAAGTAAATGTAGTAGAGAAAAAAAGACAATTTGTCATCTGCAATGTAAAAGTCTCACTAAATGGAATTACTCACGTAAAGTGAAGTACTTAAAAACTAGGACACTAAATGTACTTTTTTTTCTTCATCTCTTGGCTAATCTAAACCAAGCCCACATTACTCCCTCAGAACACAGCCATTCCAACCTCTTATTGTGTAATTACAGTTGTTAAAATATATCTTATTTTCAATGGTATACTGATGTACAAACATGTCCTTTGTCAAATGGTTCAGCTTTGGTGAAACATTTTCAAACCAACAGAGAATATCTGTCATGAGGCTTATCTCACATGGCACTGGATGATTGTTTCTGGACATCAACATTTGCAACAAGAACATGGGTTTTTCACTGAACTCAATGCTACTTTACAGGAAATGGTGAGCTATGTTTATTATTGCCAAAGACAACTAAAGTGCATGCTGCTTTAACCACTAACTCAATGGCTTGTACAGTTAGTAATAAAACATATATTATAACGCTTGACCCTATAATACCTATAGGGTCTGCAGCACAATGTGTTAGCATTTTATACACTTGTATACAACGTATACAATGATGATACCTTTTTTAAAGCAAAGTACTATAAGCAACCCCCAAAAAATCTATAATTAAACTCAGCGTCAAATTCAACTACTGGTTAGATTAGCTTTGCATTTTGGTTTGTGTACTATGGGGCTACAAAAAACAAACATTTAACCCAACCTTTCAACTAAAACTTGTGTTGCAAATTAAATGCTCTTTTTTGTAAATATTAGTGAGCCAATTAATAAACATGGAAGTTTAGCAGTCATGAAAATTGGCACTTATTTGAGCTTCCGAGATCCTCCACATCCAGTGAAGAAAAATTATGCATAAGAAATCCAGTGTATTGACTGAACATATTGTATCATTGTGCACTATATTGTCAAAATATGTAAGCATATGCATCCAGTACTCTCAAAATGTGAAAACACAAGGTATTTTCCCTGATTAATGGAATTGGGTGGCACTACTGGGGTCTGTAAGCGAGATGTTGAAGCCTTTTTCCTTACCTTATTTTCCTCATAATCAAATACATACACTGTTTTTAGAATTGTACGTGCTGGTGATGTGTACCCCTGTTAGCTCTATGGTAGCATAAATAATGCACTCATAAATGGTACCCTATCTAACCATGGAGGCCAGTGTTATAAGTTGTCACTAATGATTTGGTTAATGATAAATGAATCATGTTTATATGCTTTATAAAGCAGTAATAAAACAGTTAAGACTGTCCTCCCATAAAAAGGCTAAGTGAATTGTTCAAATGCTGAATAAAACATATAAATTATGACTTCACTTGGGAACAATTGCAGCGGTAGCTTTGATCATTGGTATTGTACAGTTTGTGAAACCTGGATGTGTGGAGGTTGGCATACTAGTGACAGCATATTTGTTTCCCATTCCCTTACAAATTTTCTTTTTGTTTAAAAAAGTTCCCGTACATTGACAAAGTACGTGTTTTTAACACAACCATAATATTTTGACCCTAACCATGACGTTTACGTGCCTAATTATAATCAAACCCCAATCATTTCGGTAGCTCTAAGCAGAAAGGGGAGCACCACTGCCTCTAAAAATGGAAAGATAAACCACGTTAATGTACCACAAAGGAGTCTAAAAGACATAACAATCAAACCCCAGTGAAGTGTGTTTCAGCCTTCATCTTTTAACAAACATTAAGTCTAATCAGATTGCAAATAAATTGATTTAATATTATGCAGCACCAGAAAAAAACTGAATAACTGCTATTTCAAAATACGGAATATTTCATGCTGACAAATAAATACCTAAAGTTTTTTTCATTCTTGTAGCTTGAATATGTTAGACAAAACTGCCCTTTAGAAAGGTAAATTAAATTGACTAAATAAATTCCTTAATTATTATAAAAAAATAATAAAACTATGAGTTTAAATGTTTAAATTTAGAAAAGAACTTTAAAAGCGTTAATCCAAGACCCCTGTTGGCCTAAGCGTTGCTCAGTCAAAGACAACCACACGAAAGTTATGGAAAGTCTAATTACAAACTCTGGAGGGTAAGCAGAAGTGCATCCGAGTACTAATAATTCACCACAGTTCTCCCAAAAACTTTTGTGTGAGTTCAAATAGTTAAAAAAGACGATCACTGAAATTCATCAAACCACATCTGTTGGATTAATCACAATCTGCAGAAGTCTGTGGCAAAAACGTTTTCAATAAGTGAAGGACTTCAAGACGAAGACCTCGGAAGTTTGAAGGAGTCTCATTACCTTTGGCTCTGGTGTTAAGAGGGAATTATGGTATGGTAATGCATGTGCATTGAGGATTTATAGATGACAGTTAACAATTTGGATTATTAATAAGGCAAAGAAACACAAAAACAAAACGCAGAGTCTCTGCCAGATTCATTTAAAATAGTTTGGAATGTCAAAAAACTGATAATAAAAGCATCCAAAAGATGCTTTCTTTCACATGTGATGAAGAGTGAGTCAACTCCTGCAAAAGGAGAACAGCAATAGATCTATCTTGTGTACTAGAATTAAAAAATGACAAAAATCAAAATGGCAGCACAAATTGAAACTGACCAGGCCAATTTATTAAGATTGCCATGACCCTAGCAACTAGGGGGTAAAAAGAAGTGTGTCGGTACACAAAATATTTCATGGATTTACAATTCAACTGAACTTAAAAGCCTCGGTATGCTTTAAAGAAATGACTTTTTTAAGCGTCTGAAAGCCCTTTTCTGATGTTGAGACCAGGAGGGACGTTAAACGTATCGCTATTTATGTGAGTCATTACATCCCATTTACAAAAACACACAAAAGACAGATTAATTGAAAAGAGATGCTATGATGCAGGCTTTTTGGCCCCGCCTTCAGGTGTCGCCATTGTTAACAGCTATAAACACTTTTCTAGTACAACCTACTTTCTTTGAAGTATACTGAGGCCTTTAAATGGATAAAAGCTTTACAAGGCATTGTCGATTTGTTGATGGGGAAGAAAGCCTAGAAACAATGACCACTCTCCCCCGACTCAATAAATTACAAAGAAAAAGGCCAGAAATAGCTGAGCCATTTACTAGATTAGTGGACAAATAGCAGATGTGTCTTTTGTCTGCTGTGAGGCTGATAATAGCAGGACTTAAGAGAGCAACACATGCTGTAATAGTACTCAAAGTGTGAAGTGGCAGCATGGGTGAACATTGAAAATAGAAACTTTTATTTATATAAAAAATGAGGTGATCATTGATCGGGTCGACATGTTCTCGGAGACAAAATCCTGACTGACCACCGTTTGTTTCCTGGAATGAGGCCATCATATGCTTTCTGGCCATTTACATTTTAACGTTTTCTTCCTTCTGGCATCTCATTAGCTCCAATGGCTTTCCAGCAAAAGTTACAGTATTTACATGTATCACATTTTATTAGGATAAGACAACAAAATATAATTTAATGAGTATATTTATTATAATGTGTTGAAGGAAAACTGAAGGAAAAGTTGTGTTCGGGTTAGGGGTTTTGTGAAACTTAACTGTGTCTTCGAATGTGAGGAAAGTATCTAGCTAATTGTACGGGGTTTGTTTCAAAGATAACTCAGCTGGTTAGCGTTAACTATACCAACTAGTAGTGCATCCTCATGAGGAGAAAATGCATGCCCACGTAACATAAATTGTTACACGTGAGGGTGAGGACTTGGTTTAAGTTTAGGCTTTATTAAGGGTTGGGATTAAGCTGCTAGATATTGTGGTTGGGGCGAGAGTAAATCTCCAGGAAATAAAAATAATTCAAAAGGCAATAACATTAAAAGTGTTTGGGTTGGGAGAGGGTCTCATAAGAACATCTTTTCATACAGAAGGCAGTGATGAACATGGTTAAAGATGATTGTTGTTTTGTTTCTTGAAATTACAAGAAACAGATTGAGATAAACAAGCTTAGTTTTTTCATGACAACAAAATTAACAAAACCTAGCAAACTAACTTCTCATGATCATTTAAAAGGGAAATGGGGGAAATTCCTATGTGGCAATTCCACTACGATTACCAACTGCACATTAAGTCTTGGTATTCTACTGCAAAATGACTGATTGCTCCCTCTGGGTTGGGAGTAATGAGCTGTCAACAAGAAAAGAGAGAATCGAGTGGCTTGGAGTATTGTTTTCAAAGTGAGGTGGACTTAGTGTGTCCTTGTCTTGGTGAAGACGGACATGAACCTGAAAGTTAAGCACTGGTTTCAAAGGTTGATCTATAATGCTATCTTGACTTGCTTAAGGACTGAAGAGATGGAACTCAAGATCCACAGAAAAATCAGTACTGCATCAACTGGGATGTTAACACTGCACCAGACTGTCATGGTCCGGGCATTTCCAACCAGGAGGAGACTCCAGGTCACACAAAGAAAATACTGATGGGAATGCATATACCATCAGACAGGTGAATGCTTTAGGATTATCGGGGAGATGTTGCTAATGGAAGCAAGTTTGGCTAACCTTGCTTAGCCAGCTGTCAATGCAACCGGGGCGGATGGGTAAATAGTAATGATCCATCAGCAGACACAACGTCACTATATTGTGTCACTATGTCACTATATTGTGAACTGTTTCCTACCACTAGTAAAATGTCTTTATCACTAGTAACAGTATCAGGGACCTTATAGGAGAGAATTATTAATGACCACACTCTACAGTAGTAATAAAGTAATTCCATCTTTTTTGGATAACTCCAGAATTTGAGCAATCAAACAGAATATCAACTGACAGCTAAATACTACAATTTAATGATCTAATTTTGAGGCCTCATGAAGTGGGACCCTTAAAATCCAGTTATAGACCTTTTTACTTTTAGCTGGTATTGTGGAGCCTGAGATTACATGTGTGGTTAGTCAAACTGCCACAACAAAACTGAGGCCTTGGCTTGGTCAAGTATAGTGGAAGGAACTGGGCTGGTATGGGCTCAGCTGCAAGTATTAAACCCAGGGTGCCTAAGTAGGTAAACCCTGCTAAAAAGACATTAATAATTAAATGTTTGTGGCGACCCTTGATTACAAAAATTAAATCCAAATCAGAACCATGAGAACAGAGTTTGGGTTATGCTCGAAATAATGATTCCAAGAGGCAAAAAATATTCTGCGATCATGAAAAACTAGCTCTAAAAATAATTACACCCTATGCCTTCTAATCTGTATCTCCTCTTTACTCCTGGCAGCAAATTATAGGGCTTCAGTTTAAATGAGTGGTGACTTTCTTTGGTTACAAAATAGGGTAAAGAGATAGTTGCCATCCTATTTTGTCTTGCAGCGTGAAATATTCAGAGGATTATGAACACTCTAAGGTCCTTCCTAAATATTAACTATTCTAAAAGATTGAATCTGTTTAATCATTCAGTTGCCTTTTGTTAAACTTTTGAAGAATTAGACTAGTTATTTACCTTTCTTCTGAAAATTGTCAACCTCACACTTAAAAAATTGCATACCCAAAGAAGATGGGTTTAAAGTCAAGATACAAGCTGGTCAAGGCAAAGGCGAGGTTAAAAAGCTTTGTACAAACTGAGAATTTTTCCAACAAGATATTTTGTTCTAGCTCAAACTAATGTTTAGTCCTGTGTAACACCCTCTACAGTGACCTTTAAAGGGAGTGTGCTCAATATGGTGCCATTTTAATGCCAAATAAGCAATTAATGCCCAAAGAAAACTCAAAAAAGACATTTTAAGGCCCGTACAGCGCTCATACAGCAGTTACCGCTGATAATGGTGTTCCCCGAGCCAAGGTGGCTCTACTCCCCTGGTTACTGTTAGCTCTAATGTTAACGTTAGCTCTGTCGGCACTTTTGCCGTTGTCGGCAGTGTTAGCCGTGTGAGCTGCCAGCTGATTGGCTGCAAATAAAACCACACAATAAGTATCAATTGCATGTCTGATGGTGCAAGCAGCTTTGTGAGGCTTTAGTTTAAACAGCCAATCTTCGAGCGTAACGCTAATGTATCAATGTAAAAATAAAAAAAATGTATTTCTAAGTTAAATGTTTACCGTTATTGCCATCTTACGTTAGCATATTCGCATGCAGGATTAGCATTGACAAAATAAAAGTAAGGCAGATGAGAATGTTCGCAGGTGTTTGACCATAAACTAAAAGAATTGGACAAATGGAAATGTAGACTTGATGATAGAGCTAAAGAAAAAGTAAGAGGATCACCAAAGTCAATAAAAATGACTCTGAGGCAAACATGAATAAGTTAAGCTAAATTAAACTAAAAACTTATGAACTTTCGAAAAGTCAGTAGACTAACAGAGTCATAAGGATTGATCTCACTGGGGCCATTGATGTCCATAACACATTTCATGGCGATGCAGTAGTTAGTTCAATATTTTGTTCTAGAAAAAAGAAGAGGACCACCGGCATCCCCACAGCTATGCAGTTATCATAATGGAAACTGCCTATCAGCCATGGGATCATCCACATTATTATATTTACGTCTGGACAATAAACTGGAGCTTAATTTGCTCTAACATAGCCATAGCTTGTATACTCATTGTGAAAAGCTGTTCATCAGATCATTTTAGTAATCGTTTAGACATATAATATATGTATAACCCCGTTAATTTTAACTTAGTTATTTTTCATTGTACTTCTCTCTGCATTAGCTGAAGCCATTTATAAACTGCACAGTAGGCTGTTAAACATTTAAAAGCATTAGCATTTTGTTTGGCATTATGCTAGCAATCTCCAAATGTAAGCCTAGATATTACTTACAGCTTCAGAAGTTTATTTATTTATTGGTTTATTTGATAGGTGGACAGTGCACATTAATAAAACATTGCTGTAAATGTGCCAGAGTTAGCCAAAAGGCTATTTTTCATCTGTCGTCCCAAGAGACAGAAGATAATATTAAGGTTAATCATTTCTGTTAAAATCTTACTGCAGCATTTAGGTGAAAAAATTAAATTAGTAACATATATATACAGTAAAAGCTTTGAAACAATAAAAAGACATAAGCTTGACCATAACTAAGGATAAATTGACAGCCATTTTGTGATTGAGCATATTCATTTCAATAACAGGCTTTGCTTGTTGTTTCTGCAGAGATTTGTTGGTAATGTTCCTAAATAAATTCTAGTTATTAAAGGGCACCCATCGACATTAAAGGGATGGGATCTGAAACTTACCCTTATTTGATCCTGAACTATTTATTTGTATTCTGATGTTGACACTACTTGTCTGTAATTTTAATAAAGTGCCTTCAGAGTTGTGCAGATTCAGTAACCCAACTCAAGTTTGTGTACATATTTAGAAGGTTCGTATTTACAGAAAGAACAGAGGTGAAAGGTTTGAGATCACCTCAGGGTACTTCATTATTTCTCTTTAAAGAATAGCATTTGCTTGTTGTATGTTTTTTTTAGGTTTTAGGTTACATCACTGCTACCGGTGTGAGAAAGCCTCCTCAAGCTCATCAATCTTGTTACATTTTCCCTTGTCATACGACATACAGAGGGAGGACATTAAACACAACCCTGTAATCATTGTAATACAACTTAAGATATGCTTATATGGTGGTGATGTAACTCTATAGTGATTTTTGAGGCTATAGTTTGTAGTGATGTTGAATTCGACTGGATTTGAGTCACATAAGCAACGTTTTGGTCCTAAACACATTAACACGCAAAATGTACAGTCTTAATAGTGCTTTCCTAATGATCAATGGTCTATAAGAATTGTTTCTGACTGCTCTTGGAGCCCATTTCAGATTGGTTTTAAGTATGAGTTTGAGATTGTGTTATTGTTTACAGTGTTACATAACAAAACACCTTGTCGCATGAGGGTGTGGTCTCACGGTCAGTGGCTCATCAACGCCTTCTAAAGGATGATAATCCTATTTAGTTCCATCTTTTTAAACACATTGGGGGTCCATAATATTCTGTACAATTTAGCATTACAACATAAAATAGTAATTCAAAATGACCATAAAGTTGCATCAACACCTCTAACACCGATTGAATATTATAATTTTGAAAAATGTGTACATTTGTACAACACCTATTGTAGAGGATTACAGGATGTTTTAATGGTTTTATGTCCACTCCCTGTACTTGTTTATGTATTGTTAAATCTGACTGCACTGTGATCCATTCCTTGTTGTCTAGACCCTTGTCTTCGTTCCTTTCTGGCTCCTTCATCTTCTACTCATTTCCCTCCACCTTCTGAAACTAGACAACGTCTGACTCCACCACGCATTGCTCGGTGTACTCCTTCACCAGCTCAACTCTCAAGGTGTTGCGACAGTATTCGGCCATGGACTTCCAGAGTGGTGGGTCCAGGAACATCTGGCACATCACGTGACCCTTCAGGGTGGCAGTGTGGCGCTGCAGGTGGCACAGGAACTGCTGCCGAACCAGGTCCAGGTCTTTACCGAACATGTCAATGTTCAGGTAATACCTGGTCAAACAAAAGTGTTGCAATGAAGATCATGTATTATTTTGAATAACCATTACATGTTATAAGTTATCTTAATTCACTATGTGTGTCGAATGAACAACTCTGACATGCCCATGGTACCATAAAAATATTGTATGGCACAAAGCAGTGCATCCAACTACATTATTAAACACTTTCTTATTCACAGTTATGTAAAAATAATAAAAAAATTACCAGTCATTTCCAATGGGCACTCTGAAAGGGAAGGTACAGAGACTGGCCACGATAGGGTTGGACAGATCATCTACCACCCAGTCAATGTCCTTCTTCAGTAGGATACCCATGTTACTGGGCAGAAGCTTGAATGGCTGCCAGTCTTGAATGATGGTGGCATTAGGAAGGATCCCCTGCATCAGGCCAGTGGTTAAATACAGCCGTTCAACAGCTGTGGGGTCAAGACGCACCGGAGGAAGGTTGGAGGAGGTAGACAGAGAGGATTGGATGTCTCCACCCAGACCCAGCTCGGACAGACGTAGCTTGAGGTCTTCTGCTCGGAAGCGTACCAACAGAATACTCTGTGAGGATGAAGCCAATGTATGAGCTGACAAAGTACCACAAAAGTAAACAAACAGACTGAAAGCAAGCTTATGCATCTTGCATGTTGATTATTAACATCATTCAGTAACACTCGGCACAGAAGGAAACACAGAGTCTTATTTTTTTGTTGGTACCTGCTTGGTTATGAGACGATACTTCTGGAAGTCCTTGGGTCCAAGTTGATCATCACGGGTCAAGCGGCTTACTTTGACATCAGGGTACTTGGTCTTGACCAGCTCGCAACAAAAGCGAAGAAGAACTCCTGCCACGCCCTTTCCCCTTTCCTGAGGGGCAACACGTAGACCTTCCACCAGCATAGTCTCCCCATCATCAATCACACAGACAGACTCCAGAGCAATCTGTTGAGTATCACAGAAAAGAACAGAGAAAAGAAACAATGATATTGACACGTCTTTTTCAGAACTTTACCTCATTCCTGTAGGTGGGACAATGCAGCTTAACCTGTGTCACGGTGTGGTTCACTTCGTGTTGTATTTGTAGTTTTCTGCCACTCGTGTCCCCGGGTAACTTCACTTCCTGCCTTGTCATGTCATCCCCTGTGATCGTCTAATAGTTTCCAACTGTGTCCAATCACCTGCACCTCCCTAGTGTATTTAAACCATGTGTGACTGTTGTCACTTGTCGCGTCATTGTCTTTTGCCACGCATGTCCTCGTCTATCGTCGTGGATGTTTGTAGTTTCCTTCCTGCGGTTTTTCCCCTGGTTCCTGTGTATTTTTGCCCCTTGGCCTTTTGCTTTTGACTATTAAAGTCCCTTTTGTTTTTGAACTTTGCGTCTGAGTCCTTCCTCCCCGCAAATCTCTGACAACCTGTTTATGAGATTTCAGGGACTAAAAGATACTCCGTGGAGCCACAATCAAGATCCCATTTCTTCTGTCTATTTGTTTCGCGGCGAAAACAGACTAAGCAATATGCCCTCTTTTGTTGCCATCAGACCCTAATTGCACACGCTGGCTTTCCAAAATTATTCTTTGGTCATGACCTTTGGATGTAAATGCTCAGAGAAGAACCACAGCTTTTTAGTGTCAAAGGGATTCAGAGATGCTTCAGGCACCTAATCGGGATGCTTCCTTGACGTCTTCCTATGGCAGTATTTTGTAAATGAGAGAGGAACCCAATGATATCTGTGGGGTCCCCCAAGACAAGATGGAAAGACACTAGGGCTATATCACTGGACATCATGTGGACTATCTTGGCTCAACGGACACCAAACACATAGTTTCAGCTATCTGCCCCTGTTCCTGCACCATTTTTTTACTTCCTTGTAGACCAGGGGTGCCCGCACTTTTTCGGGTCGCGAGCTACTTTTCAAATGACCAAGTCATGGCGATCTACCCCCTCCCCCCAGGGGAAATGGGGGGGGGGGGGCGCAGTAGTGTAAAAACTAGTGGTAACCAAACAGCGATGCAGGCCGGGGAATTGTCACAACAATTCCACACATTCTTGGTCATTATCTTAATTGCTGATTGGAGTCAGACATGGTTGCTTTTGAATGAAATTAAATGTATATACAGTGATCCCTCGCCACTTCGCGGTTCACTTATCGCGGATTCGCTATTTCGCGGATTTTCATATTGCATTTTTTTTTTTTTTTGGTGCATTGTGCTCTGCATTCTGATTCGCTAAAAACTCACTCCCGAGCCGTTCATTACAGTTCTCCAACGTAATCGATGGTGGCATGTCGGTGTACAAGGATCTTTTTGCAAAGAAGAAAAAAGAGCGACAACAGCTGCCTATCACTATGTTCTTCTCCCGAACAAACACACCTGCACCGCGGGCTTCAGAAGAAGAGAACACTGCAGAGCGCAGTCAGGATGCAGCGGCCCAGTCTGAAGAGCAGTGAAACGGCCTACACGCGAGTCACTGTATTTGTATACATGTAATAGTTGCTAATTGTAAAAAAAAAAAAAGTTTTCTATTTCGCGGATTTCACTTATCGCGGGTCATTTTCGGAACGTAACCCCCGCGATAAACGAGGGATTACTGTACAAGCAAGGACTGCTAATTAACATTAGTTTCTGTCAACTCCCGTGGTCGACTGTGCATGCGTGACATGACGTGATTTATTTTTATCGATGGCAGGCGATCTAGTCAACTGGTCGATCGACCTATTGGTTACCCCTGTTGTAGACCATCAAACCGGAAGTCATGAAAATCATTACCATGACATTGAAATAAAACTGGTCTTAAGAATATTACACTTGCTCTGACCTCATGCTATTCATTTTACTTACCACTTTTCCCTGCTTGCGAGCCAGTATGACTGTGCGGTTGGTCTCCTGCAGCCAGTCGGTGTATCGAGTGGGAAGGTAATCAAGGCCACCATAGATGTCCTGGCTCATGGCCATGATATCATCAAAATCCTCCTCTGTGGCCACAGAGAACTGGAGGCCTGCCTGGGACAGGGCCTCTGGGAGCTGGAGCATAGTCAGGCTGGTATCGATCTTCATCTTGAAATAACTGATGAGATACAAAGTGGGGGAGAGATTATTGTAAATTGTGTTTATTTTTATTAAAAACAGGATTAGGACAGCCCAAGAACTGTTCTAACCCAGGAATTCCTCACAGGAGGCCAATTCTGGGATGTGCAGAAACACAGAAAGCTCATATTTTGATTCAACAAACAAGCTTCTTCAGAGATATAACACAAAGGACGATACAGCAAAACAGCATAATTGGATGCATTGTGTTCATATGTATTGCACAATGTGAATTAAACATACTGTAAGCAGTCAGTAAAAGCAGTTCAGTGGTAAAGCATAGATTGTTAAATTAAGAAAATATAAGAATATAATTCAGTAATGAGAGAACACGGCATCCAATGCTTAGACCCCCTAAGCATTCATTTATGTCAAGTCAGAGAACATTGCCAATTAGAATAAGACCTTTTTTGGTTTTGGTTGAAATATTTGTAATGGTCAATGTTTACAATGGGATTGAAAAGGAAAAAAAAGAGTAAAATGGATGGGATTGGTACCGGATTTCATAGCAAGCAGGACAGGAGGAGAAAAACACTGCAGGTGGTCATATTTGAATATGAACGCAAAGACAGACAACAACATTTTGAATCAATCCAAAAGAACTGAACATAGGGGAGTTGATCACAGATGATTGCGATTGAGAGACAAACCATGCAGCTGGTTTAGATTAACGGCGCTTTCACAGGTCAAACTTAAGTCCATATTAATGTAAATCTTGTATCATTTGTTTGGCCAATTTTGAGTAACTGATCAATCACATTCTGGTGCAGACAAAAAAAATCACCTAAAGGCCAATTGTGAGAGCTGGTCTTGGAAGGTTTCCAACAAAACCCTTGTGTGGTTTTATTGCAGCAAGATTAGAGTCTTACCCATCTGCTCCTGTGTGGTTGAATACAGACAAATGACATGAGTGGAATAGGACTGACTTGGAACTCTGCAGTTCCAGTCCGATGTTGGCTTGACATCTCAACCAACAAAAATAGCGATTAAAGTATACGAAAACATTTTTGTTCACAGTGAAAGTAAATGTCAAAACAATTCACAACAATATTTTAAATTCCACCATTTTATACTTTGAAATGGCATTTCTTGAGATTTGGTCTGCTTTAATTTTGTCCAATAACTAGACTAGATACAAAATGAACCAATAACTTGTGAGAGCGCCCTAAAGAATAGTCCAGACAGAAAGACAGCAAAGGAAGCAAGATGAATTAAACAGAGGAGCTAAGGAAATGCAAGGCAGAGGGAAACAAACTACATGAGCCAGGCTGAAGTGGCAGAAACGGACATCAAGAAGGGCCAAAAACAGATTAATGAAAAACAGAGACAGGAAGTAGAAGACTGGCACCTATCTTAAACCCTATGTCTTTTCCCATCCATCCGGTAAATCCATAACCTCAGTCCCCTAATCCTTAAACTAATACCCTCTGACACCTACTCCACATTACACACATTTGTCCAGAATGTGGCTAAATAATTCAAAGAGTTTATACAGACAATAGAATGGGTGAACACTGGGAACAAAGTTGTTTCATATATCCTGAAACCCCAATACTGTAAATTAATCCAGATAAAATATCAGGGCAAATAACAAATGGTGTTGGGTACTCAAATAGAGTCTGGATCACTGGAGTTCCAAAGTGTTTTGCATTTAAAAACCAATAAGGGAGCGGGATTCTGTGTAATTTAGTTTTTTCTTTAAACGAGACTAGCCAGACTAAAAGGACACACCATAAAAAGCAGCTGCCAACATCACAAAAGAATACGGCAAAGAATGACCACAATCCAACATTCCAATCACTGAAAAGATATATATGCATGTGTCCATGCATAAAGGAAAACTGAAACTGGTAACCATAGGACCAAGCACACCAGTCTTGAGTACAGCCTGAGTCTGCAACTACCTTTCAATTGAATGCAATGCACATCTACTAATGAATATCTGGCAGTGACTAGAGTACCGCCACACTGAACGTCCAAAAAGTGTCCAATTCATATGAGAAAATGGCTTATGACGTGATCATGTCTGAATCTTAATAACAGAGCCATCACAGTCATAGCTGTCACCATAAAACATGACCATGGTCACCGCCATATCCAATCATTTATGCTACTCCCAATCAGACACAGATACAGGAAACCGTGCAGTTGCTGTGGGAACAAATTCCCCCTTGAAGACATTAAAGTCTGTCTCTATCTGAAGCACCAAAAAAACACAATTGTCATCAATTCAATCAATTGTGCCTTATACCTACATGGGGCTATATCCTTTTCTGCTTTTCTGCATTAGCTTCGAACTCCCCAGTTGGTTATTTTGAGTGATGATTGTATGATTACAGTTCAAGAATAGAACTACTATTAACCTCCATGGACCAGATGTGCCCAATTGTGGTTGAGAAGACAGGGAGGATTACTGTGACTGAATGGCTTGACCCAACAGATGGCCACACATACACGCAGGGCAGCTTTATCCCTAAGTATTTCACAATAAAAATGGGGCCCGGAAGCAAAGCACACAGAAAAAGACAAGAAATACCCCATTAACAGGAATGTAGATTCAAGCCAGATACACCGGTTGTCGTATAAACATTATATCTAGTAAGGTGGTACAAGTCCAAACATCAAGTCATAGATAACAAGGTAAGAAGGAAGGATTCCAAAGGAGAGTGCGCAACCATAGGATAGAGAAGAGTAGGGCAAGAACACCGCCATGGTGAGTATCCTGAGAACCAGCTATGAGTACATCTAAACGGCTCCTTCCACAGATGAACCCAGTTTACACCAAGTAGGAGCTATGGAAGAGGGAGGTAAAGACAGGTTTAGTGTTTCCATTGGCAGATAGTTGACGATAGAGGAGACGGCTGCACTAGGAATGTACCAAGTCACTAAGAATTCAGAACGAGAGCAGGCCCTTAACACCAGACAACAAGAGAGTCCACACAGCATGCTTCTCTCTGCAAACAGGGGCATGAGCAAGTTGAGAAAAACATTGTGTAGAAAAATAATCACATTGAAAATCCTCGAGCAATGTCGCACTGAAATGCCAAGAGGGGAACTGGGGGAAGGGTCATGAGAAAGTACGTTACACGCCTTTAGAAAAATCCTACTTATATGATCATACCAATTTGTCCAAAAAGGTGACAAAATGATCAAAGGTTTTGAAAATTCACATTTATTGAAGAATCTAGCATCTTTAACATTTAAAACACAGGTTTAAGCTCTTTTTTTGTGAATACATGGGGCACATCTACAAGTCATGCTGGCAAAATAAATAACAATAGCATACTAACCATGGCTGCAAAATGCAACAACAGCATCATTTGAGTAGTGCTGCAATGCTTATAACACTCCAAAACAGAACGGGCAGTTCTACAACATCAAACCGGACACAACTAAAGCAATGCTTAGAAATGTATAAATATAAATATGGCAGTCCACACCTTCAACAGAAGTGCATGCCAGTATTTAGCGAGTGTACATAGAAACATATTAACATCAATGGAAGACTTCAGTGGGAAGGAAAAACTTAATATTCCGACTGAAACATGTCTGGTGTCAGCCCCTTATCTCTCGCAACGTGCCAAATATGCCAGCTTCATCTGTGACCCTACGTGTCAAACTAAAACGCTCCACCATAGTTATTGCTAGAGCAAAGGGGGAAGTACTTTCAGAAAGTGTAAAGAGTGGTAAAGTCTACATATCTTGGGGATTGTTGTGATCGGTTGGGTCTACAACCTGAGTACTTTCACCCAGGAGACAGGTGTTTAGGTCCCTTGTGAAACACAAATTCAACATTGACTCACTTTAAGTTATGCACTGCTAAGTAGCATTACCATTGCATAACATTAGGTAACTTTAGGTATTGTAGCCCAGTAAAAAACATTGCTGTTTGAACCCAAAACAGGATCTTTTCCAAAACCTAACCCAAATGTTTTATGTACAGGAATTTCACATGACACAGGACTTTCACAGAGGAGACATGTGTTTGGGTCCCGTTTGAAGTCAAAGTTGACTTTTTGGAGTTTAGAGTTAAGCAACATTACTACATAGTGTGCACAATGTAGCCTACTTAAATATGTTACATAACTGACGACATTACATGAAGTAATGTCGAATACTTAACTAAGTAAGAAGGTTGTTTTTACCCTAACCGTCGTCCTTTTCTTTCTTCTAATCTGTTTTGTTTAACATAACTTTTACAATACACATAACTTTTACCTATGAGACCAGCAAGAGTTTCCATTAGGAAACTAAAAGTCAACAATTACCTAACCCCACTACTTAGCACCAAGATAACGTAGACTTGTATTCTAGGTGAAATAATTGCTTATTTTATTCCAAACCACAATCTTTTCCAAACCTAATGTCAATGGTTTTCAAACCAAACCAAGTAGTTTCCTGTGAAAATGGAAGTTGGCATTAAAGGCGTCACAGTTTGAATTGTAGGACCACTGACCAAGCAGTGGTATTTGATAGAGAGGACATGTTGCCAGTGTAGACAAGGGTTAAGTAACTGTTGATGGAAAAGTGGTTCTACAAGGAGACTATAGAAGTAGTTGTATCCTTTTTATAAAACATTACCCAACATAGAGATTTATCGCTGTATGAAAAATGTTTAAACATAGTATAAAGAATGTGCTTGTTTATATAAAACAACCTTTGTTATTGTAGCTGTACAGTACTTGGTAATTACAGGCCCTTTTTCACAACCGGTTAGCCTGTATTGTTTGTGTTAAAGAGGCTAAAACAGAAATGCTAGATATGTTCCAAAAATCTATCAATGGGCCATGTGAGCTGTAAGGGCATCTGTAGTGAAAACACTGTCTGGTCACAGCCGACACACACACACACTGTGGACTCTGGTATTTTTCCATCATGCTTTGATGCTTTGAGATGAGGTGTCAGGCCTTGCTGGATAGTTCGGTCCTGCCAATGAGAGGGATCATTGAGTATTGTGCTCCCCTCTCCCGCCCTCGCTCTAGAACACTTATCGATTCATTATTCGTCTATTCAGTCTCTCATGCTCTTGCTTTGTCACGCTATTTGACTGGCAGTGTACTCAACACAAAATGGAATTTGGCACATTTGCAAAACAACTGTTGAACTGCCATCACATACACCACTGTGGGCAATTGCCAGTATGCTGGCCGTGGATTTGGGTCGGGTCATTTGATTATGACCCGTGCCAGTTGGAGGAGCTTGGAAATTTTGGTGTGAAAAGACACAATGAGTTGGAGGGATCTGAAATCCAAATATGCAAACATATAAGCAAATTCTTTCTGGTGACTTTTTTCAGTGAATCAAACAACCCTCCTGTGTACTTGGCACATCTCCAGATTTACCCATTTTTTATCTTAAATCTATGATTGGTGATTAAGTTTCCAGCAATGCCGGAAAAACTCCAACCCCAGGAGGAAGCATTATAGGAATTATATGATGTAACCAAAGAGATTACTGATCTGATGGTTTCCGGGTAGGATCAAAACAAAGGACGCTAAGGCAGTACACAGTGTCGCACATAAAAAAAATATAATTTTGTCTTTTTTTAACCAGCCAGATTAGATTTATTTGGAGTATGTTGCCAGCTCTCCTCTACGTCTCCTCTACGTCTTCCCACACAGAAAAGAAACATTCCAATGCAACAGAAAAAAATATCCTGAGCACCTGAAGAACACAAAGGAACACACCATGTCTTCGGTAGATTATCCTGCTGGTGTGACGAGAACATGGACACCAAAACCATTCATGTCTCCTGGGAAGATCCTTGGCTCCAGTGCTTCATGCCAGTAGAATCGTTGCGGACGTAAAGACATAAGCAAACCGCTCTGTTGCGCGATAGCAGGCTCCATGTCATTTTTCCCACGCAGCCCCGCCTATACATGAAACAAACCATTGACACAGAGGCACCAGAAAATGATTAGTTGGGGAAATCTGTCAATCATCACTCCGTGCTCGTTCCCATTAAACGAGACAGCAGTACAATATACTTCATATTATAACCTACACTGCTTTGCTCTGTGTAAGTCATGCTTTCAGAAAAGGCAAAGCAAATGAACCTATTACTACACACACAGAGTGTATTTGTGTTCTGCTCTGGTTATAAACTGTGGTACTGTAATTGCCGGAAGATGGCACGGAGTTTACCTTTATTTTATCAAATATAGTGCCATTTTTGTAGCAGAGACATGTGTCTCTCCATAGAAAACTTTAATTATTTTTGGATTATATACAGTACGTCCCTAAAGTCATAATCTGCATGGCTCTTAATTATTATTCCCTTTTCAACAAAGAGTGCTATATCTGATTAACACAGTAACTACAATACATTACTCCTAACATCTGTGTCCAGTATCTAACTGACACTATATATCCTAATTTTTCCCCATGTCACAAAATTGTTAAGCTCTCCAACAAAAGCGCCACTTCCAAGCAAAATCCGGGTTTTCCTTGGCGCTCATGAATCACAAATCAAGTTCTATATGTGACAAAAAATGTGAGCCAAGAACCAGCTTCTAAAATGACCTTGTAGAATGATATAGAGAGAAATCTTATTATTGATGCTCATCCATTTTGGCGTAACGGATGATTCCATAGTGGGCCATCGTAAAGACAGAGGTCATGGTTAATGCTAAACTTTAGATGTATTGCTTTTAAAAGAGTCCCACCCTATCCCAGAAATGACCCCTATTGCAAATAGATTTTTACGAAAGAAAGCTAGTTGAATGTAATGTAAAACTAGCATAAAACAAACTTCTTTATTAGATGTTAGTGGTTAATTGTTGATCTTTTGACCAGCCATGCATTCACTTACTCACAGCATTAATTGTGAATGCCAAAACTAGGGACCATAAATGGTCAGCGGCCCTCTGCTAAAATGTTTTTTTCGTCTTTTCCCATTATTACCCCTAATGAAAAAGTGAATAACTTCCATTTTGAGAGAGGCATGCCCACCGATACTGGGTCTCCTTCTGTTTAATAGGTCACAGTGCTAACCTTGTGCTGAATTAAAGTCTATGATCAATAACACTGCTCTCATCAGTAACTTTGTTCACTTGTGCAGGAAAATTTCAATTGTAGTCATCGACGCGATAAAATAATTAAATGGGTGGGAGCTTGACTCAAACATAACATTGATAACAATACTATACTAACTCTAGAATTACATTAGGTTTATTTTGTATTGCACCACCTCTTAGTAGAATACTCTCAAGCAGTGTTGAGGTACTAGAGATGGCCTTGTTCTCAAGAAAATGTTTTAAAAGTCTCGTTGGAATCTAAAGCTATTTTATTCGATCCCCCGTTCCTCTTCACGCACACAAAAAAATGAACCACAAAGAATTCCTCTGCAAAACAGGATCCAAAAAACACACTGAAACATTATGAGGACTAATGGGCCTGGTCTTGGTCTAGCTCAGTGGTTCCCAAACTTTTTTTGTCACGGCCTCCTTTAAGGATATAGGGACATTGTAATCCGATTATAATATATACATTATCAAAAAATAACTTACATATGGATTTACTTTTCCACTCAACAGTTTTACATTTTGATAGCATATTGTCAAATAAATTTACATATACAAATATTAAAATTGAAGGTGGGAACAGTGAAAACAGTAAACCATTTTTTCTTTGTCGCACCGTGTCTTTTTCAATGTCTTTCTGATGCTGCGTGTCTCTCTCTCTCTTTCCCTCTCTTTGCTGCACTCGTCCGCTTGAAACCTGAGCTGTTCTGGGGGGCCCGGTTCGAACACAACACACGCGAGTCCTCCTGTCGGTTTCATGAGCACACACAGCCATGTTTTTTTACCCTGGCTGTGTGTCAGGGTTGGCGATGAAGCCGCAACCCCCAGTTTGGGAAACACTGGTGTATAGCTTAAGGTGGTCTTGACTAGATCACTGCTCTCAAATGGCTAGCCCCTATCCCAACCACCCCATCCCCCCGACCCCCAAAACACACGCGCATTTAAAAAATCAAATGAGTTGGTTAGTAGTTGTCCATTTGGACCAGACTACCTAAACTATTTGACATTTGGGTCATAGTGGAAGACAATTAACTAGCATTCAGGATACCATGTCCAAATATTTCGTCTACCCTTAGACCGCTGTAGTAAAGTGGCAGAAGTGAGCGTTCTCCCCTTGTTGCTGTCAATTTTAGGTTTGCAGAAATTAAAACTGCCTGCCATAGGTGGAGAAAAGCCAAAATGACACAACATGCTTCCCTTTGATGCCAAACGTGGGTTTCACAAGTTGATGCGACAACGACAAAGCTTTGGTGAAACCTCGAAGATATCACAGCAGCAACACGCAAGCAGGGTTTGAATCATAGCACAAATGTGGTGGTAGCTGGATGATCTGAATTCAACCCTAACTCTCATATCCTCAGCAAGCTCTCCAAGCAGCCTGAGACACAATATATTTCTCTGCACAATGCGGTTTACTACTGTAAAGTTATTGAGTTTTGCTTGCTCTTGGTCAACTGTTAAATTAAACCGGTCAAATTTCACCAAAGTTCCACATTTAACGATTCAATCCAGTGGTTGTAGCTTTTCCATTGAAAAAAAAGTTGTGTAAGAGGAACCAGGGTGCAGTTTCCTAGGACGTCTGCCTCTTCCCAGGATCACAGCTGAATTTATAGTAAGAACATGACCATGGAGAAATGCATCAAGATAATTAGCGTATATTGTGATTAATAGATAAACATCCCCCAGTTGATTATAACAACATTAATGGAGATTGTTTTCCAAGAAAACCGGTTGAACCAAATAGCAAATAAAAAATTCAAACACCATTTAGTCTTTACAGTTTTTAATATGTAGAGCTTAGTATTGCTCTACAATGTACAAACTGTTAATGCTCATTCACTGTTCATCATTGTCCCCTCAGGTCTATTCTTCTGTGCCTTTGGCTGATTCCGGGCCTGTCAGCTGCCCAGGAGATGGGGAAGAGATGTCCTTCCTAGAAAAAAAAGGGAAGATATGAATTTTGTCATTAGTGTGTAGTTAACTACCAAATTAAAAAAGGTTAAAAGAAACCCATATTATATTATGTTGCCCTTACCTTGGCAAGAACTCTTAGAGTCCGTTAACCAGCACCAGAAGAAGCATTACCCCACTACTTGAAGCATCGCTTTCTTCAAGCATTTACTGAACCGCTTCAGGAAAAGTACTTAATGGTTTAAGACTTCCACCTGTTAAACGTAGCATCGGCCATAAATAATGCGTTATCCGAGGCATTGTGCATAATTTACAACAGACTTACGAGTGGCTGCTGTAGCGTTCTCGTGAGCTGCAATCAACTGATGAGCTTTTAACCAGATGATTCTACAGATTTTTACTTTATGTATGTTACTTATATACATTATTTATTTTATATAATTATATTTATTTATTATTTTGCAATTTCCTTTTATTTTTAAACCATAAAAATCAAGTTGAATGTGATTTTGATAAAAACGTTTTAGACCTAAAATTGCCCACTGGGCATGAGTTGGCAGGGCTCAACGTTAAGGGTTGATTTTTTTCTCTGAGTTTGATTGCCTGCCGTGTTCCTGATTGTTTCCTGTTGTTTCCAATCACCTGCACCTTCTCAGGGTATTTAAACCAGGTGGGTCTATTGGCTTGTTGTTGGAGTTGTTAGTCAATGTTGTTGAGTGTTTTCGGTGGTCGTGTTGTCCTGGTGCCTGTTTGCCCATGCAAGGCATTTTGTTTGTTTTTGCTTAAATAAAGTATTTTTGTTTGCTGAGTCTGCGATTGGGTCCTACTTCCGCCATCCAAACCTGACATGATTACCAGCATGTTTAAAATATGTAAAATAGTTAGAGTAAGCATATTATTGTCCACCCTGGTCTCTTCAGCTGAACGTGAGAGGGAATTCAGAATGTCTCTGCCAAGTCAAGACAGGCTGGAGGTCATCTCTAAAGGTAGAGATGGTGGTTAGCTGACATTGGTGTCACTTGAGGGACCCACAATCAAAGACCCACAATGGACCTCAATGCTGAGAGGACAATGAGTTTGTGGTTAGAATCAGTGACTTGAAAATGGCAATCAAACGTTGATCCCTGATCATCAGTGCAACCATATGAACGTTTATTGGAGGCCTGGCTGGGTCACTGCTGTCCACTTGGTTGGTTTGTAATCAATCGCTTCTTGCCGCCTCAAATAGCCCTTAAGCCTGATGGGTGGACACCGGCTGCAGTAGGCACTGCTATAATCAGATGAGTAATAATCTGTGTATGAGGGACCATGCTTTAAACAGAGCATATTTCTATTAAAAAGCTATATTTTGGGCTCTATAGTTGGTTGAGTGAATGACCAAATTGTTTTCTGCTATTAAAAATGGGATATGCAGTATGTCCTTAGTAAGGACCAAACAACTCAGTGGCTTGTAGTGTAACTCTTGTATCGGTACAGCTCACTTGGAACCCAGACTGCGTCGATACCAAAAAAAGGTATCAAGCACTGTCCATAACCTTTGGGATCGTGTAGAGCCGTGCCGTACCATTCTGCTGCCTTAAAGGTAGGGTTGGGTACCGTTGGTCTTTTTAACTTCAAACTATGAACATTATATTAACGGTTCATATGTTGTTCATAGTTTAAAAACGTTTGAAGCTGTAGTTTGAAGCCAAGTGTATTTGTATTTATTTATATTCCTAGCATACTCTAACCAATTAATATATTGTTCAATTTGAAGAAAATAATTAGCCCTGGCAATAAAAAGCGTTATTTGTTGTTTCGTGCTTTTTTTAAAGTATTGTTTCGGGCACTGTTTAGGTATTGGGAAAAATCCAAACAATACCCATCCCTACTTAAAGGCCAGTCGGAAGAATTGGCTGCTTCTAGCACAGTGTAGTAAAACTTTGGTGACTGATGGTGGG